TGTGGACGTATACTTGAAGTATTACCTGATTGTGTGTATACACGTGTGAACGTATACTCCAGTTATGACTTGTTTGTGTGTACACACGTGTAATTACCTATACTCGTGTAAGTACCTGTTTGTGTGTACATATGTGTGGACGTATACTTGAAGTATTACCTGATTGTGTGTATACACGTGTGAACGTATACTCCAGTTATGACTTGTTTGTGTGTACACACGTGTAATTACCTATACTCGTGTAAGTACCTGTTTGTGTGTACACACGTATGGACTTATACTCCATTTACTACCTGCTTGTATATACACACGTGTACACGCATACTCACATTAGTACATGGTATTTCATAATGTATAGTCTGTTTATGTATTTTACCTGTCACCTGACGTATCCGTATGGTTTGTACGCATCAACTCGTCCACCGAGTCCACCTTCTCGATCTTGACAGGAACCAAGGGGTGGGTGCCATTTCCGGTGCCGTTGTCGGGGGATTGGTAAGGCTGTACTAGTAGTGGGCGTGGCTGTATGGACAGGGGCTGTATGGACAGCGACTGATGATGCTGGTTGCTGTGATCTTGGAATAAAGATCGGTCTGCAACAGAATGTGTTGAGGTGGTATATATACAAAGTTAACGTACATTCCATCCATGATCACACCACACATAAGTAGATCCACTCCAGCAGAAAACCGATATTTAACAGCTTGACGCAAGGCATCAATTGTAGCTGAGGAATTGTTTCTCGTTATTGATATAATCAATATTCGAACTCTATTTTTATCCCAAAAAAAAGATGTGGATAATTTGGGGCCTATATATATATCCGCGCAATACCCTAAGCTCCTGTATCCTTGTTCACTCACTGAAACCCCTCGGATTCGACCTTGAGTACCCTAGCGTCTCCCAAACCCCGCCGTCACCTTGCTCCCTCCTGGTCATTCCTAGTCTCGTTCAACCAGACGCTTGATCACTTGTAATTCAAGAGTCTGGTCAAACACAGTACTTTAAAATTACCATCACCAGAGGGCAGTGTTTTTACTTTCGTTTCCGGACGTTATGTCAACGCCATTAAACATTTCAATGAATAATGAAATTAATACAACTTTGTTTAACCTATACATGCATTCCTGAAGTTCCCGTGTATTCACTACTATCGAGAACAATGTAAGAAAATATGTCAAATCTCCAGAATAATGCCATATATTTCCACTGAATAAATCACAACTGAGCATGAAGCCAACAAGGCTGCTTGAAGTTGGGATATAACATGCAAAGCAAGTGCGATTTTACCTGTACACAATTCAAAACACCTGCAAGTCTCACTCAGGTAATCTGGCTTGACTTGTATCAATAGCCTTGTTAGCTTCATGAATTATTGTAAAATATCCAATGAAAATACATGAAATAATTCTTTTTGAAGCATTTTCTTACATTTTTCTCGTTTATAGTGAAATCATGGATATTTCAGGAATGCATATACAGGTAATTCCTTCAGGAATTAAATATTCAATGTAATTTTGGTCACTCAAATTCTGATTTCAAAAGTTGAAAAGGGTGTGTCAACCTTTGACCAATGAAATCATTTACCAGAATCCTGGTAAGCCTCGTTATGATGTCACAAAACGAAAGCACTGAGTTTGACCAGACTCTCTGTTCGGCGTAGATTGTGCAGGCAACAAGAGTCTGGTTGAACGAGACTAGGTCATTGCTAGAATACCAAAGGGTTACTCAGGGGTCCAACCTTTTTAGATCAATCCCGAAATACTCTGGGGGTACCAATCTCCTGGTCACCCAGGAAATATCCCGGGGATCCGCCCTTCGGATCACTCTGACTCTCAGATTACCCTTGGGTCCCAGCCTCTTTGTCACTCTCGGGATACCTTTTGGTGCCAACCTTCTGGTCACTCTCAGAACAGTCCAGGGTCCCGCCCTTATGGTCACCCTTAGAATAGTTTGAGTCACAGCTTGTGTCATCAAAGAGCATTGTTCAAACTAATACAAGTACTATTAAGTACAGAACACGTGTACACATAAACAACATACCTACCTAATACGAACAGTCCATCTTAAATGTATACTTATAGTGTTTAAATACTAAGTACACCAGTACGGCGATATGAGACAAAATCCAATGAACACATTTTCCGCGGGAGGGTATGTGTTACTAATATTAACCATTTCTTAATACAAATAATTGATGGATACCGCTACAGAAAAATAGACCTGTCATCGCCTCCATAGAAAACGTATTCACTAAGGAACTCTATCAATAAAAGCAAAAATTACCAGCAGTATTTATTTATCGACATACAACAGTTCATATTTGAACTTAAGCCACATAATTCACGTTAATCTAAGATACCAGTATATCTGATTACTGTAATTCTGCAGTTGTGCTGGCCCTCTTTTTAGTATAACTACGGTGTAATAACAATCTCTCACTAAGCTAGCTCAGCAGAGTAAATGCGGATCTGCCACAGGGAAACGCACCTCTCACGATATACTCACCTGCCCGCGACATCGCGCTAAACAGACTGTCAACAGGGTTAGGGAGACCATCTTTGTCCTTCTTGGTACGTAAACATAAGTTCTGCCATTTCTTCTGCACCTCCGACACGGTCCTGTGTACGTGAGGGTTGGTGAGGTTGACCGCCTGCGCTATCTCTACCCAGGCACGGTGTTTTGAAGCAGACGACACAACTTCGCCGGGTTTGGGTCTCAGAAGGAGCTTCCGTTTGTCGAACTCCCGGATGAGATGCTGAGTTTCTTTGTGAGTCCATTGTGGCTTCCTGTTTCGTGGTGTAACTCGGACAATGTCTAAAATATTATTGGCGTGCATTGTACATACACAAGCCTGTCTGTAAACCGTGTCTCAGTGCTTTGTTCCCTGGTGCCTACCGTGGTGTGACCCCACTCGCTCTCTCGGTAGTCATCGCTAAGCCATCGATAAGTAAGCCGCCAGCGAGGCACTTACAGGGCAGTTCTATAAATAGACTTAGCCGACCGAACCTGCTCTCACACACAACTCAGGGCTGTATACAGCAGAGCACTCGACGTTCCCGTAAGGCCCCAGTTCCCGAGGCCTTTGGCTCTGGTACGAAGTAGGGCACTTAATTATGCGACGGTTCGCTCTCCGCTCGATACAGAAATATTCAAGTGGTTTCTGGGTGTGTGTAAATGGTTGAGCAGAGGAAAAAGCTATGTTTATAATGTAGAAGTACTTAGATCTGTAAACAGGCCCGGACACACCTACAGGTTACAAACGTTATCGAATGTACCAGTCGACTCTGAATAGGACTTAAAGCCACTGTGTATACAGGTAACTGTGGTTCACTTAATTTCCAATGAAACAATGAAATTAAGATTTACGTACAAAAAAAAGAATATAAACTGAGCTAATAAGTAATCCAACAAATAACTTATATTATCTAAGTAGGATAAATATCACGCTTTTTTCACTCAACAGCAGAATAAAACACGGTCTGTTCTTTGGATTATATACCAGCTTTTTAATTCTGTAGCCTAAAACACGAAAAGCAAAATTTTGTGTATGATTCACCAAAAAACTTGCAACTATCGAAGTTACAACAGTTAAATGTTTTTGAAGACATATACATAAAACGTCTTACTGTTCAAAACATATCGCTAAATAATGTCTGTTTCTGACATGTGAAATATTCTTTATTTTTTTCCATTTTACAATTTCTTAACTTTGAATGTCTATTTTAATAACTTTCAAAAAAAAATGATTAAATTATTTTCTTTAGAGTAGAACGGTAGGTTCTTTTTTGAAATGCATGTCTTTGAAAATTAGATTGAAAAATATGTGGGAGTCATTTTTTGTTTTACAGACTCAGAATATAAATGTCATTTCTACCACGTCCTTCAATTACCTTAGCTGTTGATAGGACGTTAAACCATGTTCAACCCAATACCCAATCTTAATACCAAAAATCAGAATCAAATAAGTTGCATTCATTTACGTTTATAACAGGCTTTCTGACAAGGAAAACTTTCACAATTCACAATTTTCTATAGGATTGTTGGATGAAAATCTAACTGTTTCAAAGTAAATAGTGAGTATTTCGACAAGGGAGATAATTTAAAAGTCAACACCTTTTTTTATCAAATGATGTGTTGCACGAGGAAAAAACTCGTTTGCTTTCAAATGGTTTATGATCTAATTGGTTAAATGTCTCGTTCTGATTCCATGTTGAAAACTTGCATGTTGTAAAAATGAACGTAAAACGCACAGGTGATTGCGCCTTTCAAAGAGGTATGGTGTAGCTATCCCTGTTCCGACCTTACATGACCAAAAGTAAATGAGAAATATTATTTTCTGTTTCGGAAAATTTAGATATCTTAATTTTTACAGGTCTTCAAAGTTGCTACTCTGAATGACAAACAATAAACCATAGGGTTTCCCGACTTTAACTGTGGTTTTGACACAGCGCATTAAGGTACCAACTGATGATCTTAAACATTCATCATCAAATAAAATTAAAATCCTATTCTCAAAATGTGGAAAAGACATGCACTGTTACCGAAAAATTGAAAAAAAAGTAAGACCAGAAAATGGATCGGATTATTACATTCCGTCTTGAACAAAGATATGAAATGTTAATTCTGTTCACCGTAATCCGTATTTGAGACATTACCTAGATTGAGAGTTCGAGCCCGTGTCCCGGAGAATATATTTTTTTATTTACTATGTTCTATATTTTTAACAAGTTGATTGGAGTTGCATGTTGTTGGGGTTTTTTTGTTTTTGTTTTTATATTTGAGATAAATCAGATAAGGGGAACGAAGTTTGTATTTCAGAGAAAAATACTTATCAATAATTTGCTGCGTTGCTGTAAATCAAAAGATTAACACGTCACGTGCATGTACAAATGTAAGCTGTGTTACTTGTACAATGTGTATTACCATACATTGAATATTTTTAGCCCTATTTGTCTGGATTAAAACTCATTTTGTTAAATAAATGTATCTACAGTATATGTATTCCTTTCAATTAGCCTGATCATGCTTGATATTTCTGTATGCAAAAATGTCATGTAATGAAAATAGACAACTGCTAAATATGTATTTTTTTTTAACTTTATTTGATTAATGCTTTATTTTCTTCCTTGTGTTTAATTTCCCTTCAATATTCATAATATCGTGAATAATTATTATATAAGCGTTGACCAACCTACCCGATACGACAGTGAGCGTACGTGTACTATTTTGGACACGGAGTCACGAAATACTACTACATATGTGACCATTAATTGTGTATCGTTAGACCGTGTAACTGTGGCGAACTGGAATGGGGGCTCAGAGTACCTTCAAGTTTCCAATTTACGCGCAGTACCTCTTTCGTATAAAAGTAGATCGCTCCAAGTCATTAGCTACAACGTACGAGATCATTGTGATGTTAACAATTATTTACATATATTTTAGAACCTTAGACTGAATAATTCCCTACGATGCTGTTAATACAAAATTATTCTTTTCGTAGTTAACAGCAAAGAAAAAATGATTTTCGAGAATGGACATAATTATGAGGTATTGGTTATCATAATTTGTAAAGAAATTTCATATGTCGTGACTATACCCTTATATATCCTCTTTAAGATGCGAGTCATTGATGAGAGAATAACTGCCGCTGCTATTTCTGTATATGAAAATATAACCTGAGCACTACTGCTACAATTGCGTGAATACGCATTCGAAAAATACATCCCCAAGCAGTTTAATTGACGCTGGTTTAATACAATTATTCTATTTTTTTCAAATGTTATTGATGTAATTTAATTGAATACAAATGCACACGACATGATAGCTTTATCGTTCGATCTTGGTAGGAAACAGCTCGTGATGTCAGTTGCTCCGAATTTACAGTTGCTATTCTAGTTATTGACTTGACTGGACCGGTAACAACGGAAAACCTTGAATTGTAGAGAAAAACATCATCCAAATTGCATTTGTATATAAGAATCGTTAACATATGCAATAAAGTGTATAGATGTTGCAGACCTAATGGTATAACTGCAACAGGTGTCATAGACAAACTGAAAGGTGCTCTCGCTATCGCACACCATTGCTTACATCAAAACGTTGTAGTTACACCAGTAAGACTGCGAGCGCACCAATCAGTTTGTCTGCAACGCATGTTGAAGTTATACCTGTAGGACTACAACATCTCTGTAATATATTGCTTAAATATCCCTTACTGTGATAAGGATCCCTGTCCATACGCAGAAGAAATGTCTATTTTGCACGTTACCTATTTCGTACACCCTTCCTTCTATGTTTCCTTAAGTGCATTCAACCATGACAACTAAGCTTGAAGAAGGCTTTGATAAAATCATAAATTCCATATCTGTATAAATGGAAGGAATACAAGTTTTTCATTGTTTGTATACAGCTTCATATTCCAATACCACCAACGGTACGTTTATATGTGACATTTCGATGACTTTAAGTTATTTTGACATACATTTTGTTTGTACTAGTCATCGAAACGTCACACATACACTTTTCATAGGGTGTGACATATGAACCTATACACATTTCATGCTTGTAATTTATATTTGTCGCTATATAAAATGCTGTATTTTATTATTCTTTTCACTTTCATTCCGGTTTTTAAGAATGAATATTAATTTTGATTAATTTTATTAACATCATAGTTACACTATCCATTAAAAACAAGACTGACATCCAAATCACGCAGATAATGACCCTACTCAATTCATAGGTGATACGATTGACGTCATCATCACTTAAAAACAAACTCAACCGAACAAGGTCCGTAGTTGAATTTTAGAATTTATTCAGAAATAAACAAACAATGGACATAAGTCAATAATGAATGAAATAACACACCTGGTTGTTATTGATGTTTTACCAGTTAACATACTTTGGTTGATCTTGATCTTATACAAGTTGACACACTTGTTATATAAATTATGTGTTCATTTGACTTTCACGATATTATGTGCAGGTGTTTACAATATGTGTTTATATATCATATTCAGCATTAGAGCGTATTATTTAATCAATCGCAACCTCGTGCAAACCTTTTCTTCTGACATTACACTGCTGGAAAGTCACCTCAGATATTGTCACTGTTCATTTGCACTGTGCTTGTATATATAATTGTGTAAAATCTACACAATCGTCTTCAAATGTGAGATAAACAATGGATTAGCTTTTATTGCCAAGAACACAATATAAATAGTAACACAAGTAAATGGAAATGTGACAATTAAGTAAAATTTACACCGTTAATACACGCCCATCAACAAAAATAATTGGTAAGTGATAGGACACAGTGATCTTATACCAGTTTATATATAGTTTATATTACATCAATATGTATATAAATGATTGGACACAGTGATCTGATAACGCTTTCATATAATTTATATTACATCAATATGTATATAAATGATTTGACACGGTGATCTGATAAAGTTTATTTATAATTTATAATACATCAATATGTATATAAATGATTGGATACAGTGAGTTGATACCAGTTTACATGTCATTAATATTACTGTAATTTATATAAACGTGATTGGACACGATGATCTTTCACCAGTTTATATGCCATTAATATTACTGTAATTCATATATACGTGATTGGACACGATGATGTTCCCAGACGGAAGTCCCACACTTATCGACAGATTTGAAGAAATGCTCCAATCGCCATATGAACAAGTGAACAACGATCATGGTACGTGTTGAAATCAGTGAGAAGTAGTGTATACCAGTGTGATGATAAAATACCGGAATGCACCCGGAAATAATGAAACGTGACGTCATGTGTAGGATACGTGTATGCATAGATATTTACAATATTGTACAAGAAACAAATGTCTTGTAAGTTTACAATCGATTACCGACGAGTATGTGTAATACTTCGTCAAATCCTTTGTGAATAGTAAATATACGTGTTTGTGTACGCCACATAATGACATCCTAAATACCTTTTTGTATTGTAACTAGGCACGTGAATGTGAAATGAAAACATTGAAGATAAGAATTTGTTAAATTAAACAATGTGTTTTTGAAGAGTAAGGTTTCTGTGAGCCCAATCTGTAAAACACTGTGGTAGTTACCTCCCCTTATTTTACGTACGACAGAAAGTGTAATGAGCATGAAAACTTCAGGACATTGTTAGTTTAACAGGAGACGATTTCGTCAAATACTATAAAGTATATAAAGTATATGGTAAACCCTTGTCTTTTTAAGTCTACATAAAGGAATCATTATTGGTTATGTCTGCTGTTCAATACAAATAATAATACTTGTTACCAATCAAACATGTTCAAATTTATCACGTGATCTAAAATTTAAAATAATATCTAAATCGTTACATCGTAAGCAGTCATCAAGTGAGATAGCAAACTTTAATTAGTTTACATCAATATCAGTCACTCATGGTAAAGTATTATTTGGGATATGTACGATATGAGGATGACCATTACAATATTTTACAATAGATAAAGTTCTCGTGCTATTTCAGGATCAATAAGTTGTGTTACTTTAAGTGCACAACGGAGAGTGTGATTAGATAAAATACACATAAGAAAATAATGTTTTTATAATGGATAAAAATACAATATTATGTGTATATATTACATCATATGCAGTGAAACTAATGAATGTTAAATGTATACAACATTATTAAATCAAACACAATTTGTTATACGTTTTGTAAGACGACGGAATGGACAATTTATATCGACACATCTATTCCTTTTCAATCTTACATGTAGCTATACACACACTGGTATAATATTAAACTTTCGTGCTCTGCTCTCTGTATATTAATAATCCTGAGCATTTGGCCTTCAGAATGAACTATTGTATCAGTATGGTGGTTTGTATTCAAGAGAACAGAATATTTGGCGTACTTTCATTCATTCGGAATTTTCATTTGATTTGATCAGATATTGGCATGTGTCTATTCGGAACACTTTGTGACTTTAGGTACTATGTAAGTGAAAGATATCAGAGAAAATTGAAAAAGACATGTTTGTCGAACTAGATCTCGACAGGCAATAGTAATGACACAGGTTGGATACCGCGATGAGGAGTCTTGAGTTATAAGTGAGCTTCATAATGTAGTAACCGAATGTTATATTTCTCCCTTGACTTCCTCCCTTGACCTCCTCCCCCCTTAGCTTCCTCCCTTGACACATTTGTTTTTCTTAGTCTCGAGAAATATAATTGCTGTTTCATCGACAACAGACAGTATTCATGCACACACACAATGTTACATACGGCAATTATATAGTTATATCTACTATTTGATAAACAACCTACAATAACATAGAATGCTTGATTTACAAGTTTATGTTATAGTTTACGTTTTAAGTGTTGTAATAGTTTAATTTCAGGTCGTTTAATCACATACTTTTGTATTAACATCACATGTTCTTGGTAACATGCTGATGTAACAGGTACATATTTGTTTGCCTATTCCATTTCATCTCTCGTCTATTGTTAAAAGTACATCCTGTGAATCCTACAATCTCGTCTCGGATATCACTCTCCCTCTAGATAATCTGCATTTTGCCTCTTGAACGACAAGTATAAGAAATATTTCTTGTTCCTTTCCAGTGGAAGACTACGTATTGCTAACTTTAGGTAAATACAATCCTCACGTAATGCTAAGTATTGTGAATCTCCCCTGTCTCGCCAAAGTAAATATCGACCCATGGAATGCTGCCTAGTATTGCAATTCTGTCGTGTCTCTCCCCAAGCCTACACCATGGAATGTCTAGTAGTGCGAATCCCTCCTGTCCCTTCTACGGTCCCTTTCTGAATATAAATCATCATCCTGATCATACTCCGGGTATTCAAAGTCCTGAGAATACTGTGGGCCTTCTACCGTCTCGAGCCGGAAGTCACTCCCTCGCCGGTCCATCGTTGGCAGCGGTGGTGGAGGTGGGGGAAAGGGATCGGTGTCGGGGAAAAAGACAGTGGCTCCCCTGGGGCTTGCAGACCTACTATCTGCCCAACGAGGACTCAACATGCTGGTCATGGTATCACGACGAGACAGCGGACTAGGACTCTTTCCTCGCAGGTCACTTTCGCTGCCCATGCGCGATCTGGATGGACTTCTCGCACGGTCACCGACATGATCCGGACTACCCAGCAATAGTTCGTCGTCATCGTACCTGGACGGGCTTCGCCTCCTGAATCTCTGTGGTTCGTGGTCCAAACGGGACGGACTTCCGCTTCTGCTACTAGCAGAAGGTCTTCTGTCAAACCGTGACAGAGCGGATGGCATTGGGGTATATGCATCCGCCCGCTGGCCAAGCATGCTGGTGACAAGACCTACGTCACTGAACCGCCTTGGAGTGGTCCTACCGGAAATTCCCGTTGGCTGCGGGAATACAGGCTTCAGGTACTGAGAGGGTGGCTGAGGGCTGACCTGTCCGACTGCACCTTGAGATTGATGGTCATCGTGTTGACTCGGTGTGACCGGAAGTCCAGTCAGAGGGTCTTTCTCTAATGGAGCCGGAAGCTTAGCTCGTCTTCGGAACGACCCTAGGCGATGTTTATGTTCCCACACCTTCTGACGAGCTCTTTCCTCGTGACGCTTTTTCTCCAGTTCCTAAAAGTACACAACAATGTCATCGTATTGTCGGCGGTGTATACTGGCAACTATTTATATTAATAACGTTGTAACAGTTTTTTACGGCAGTCAATATAAAACATTTTCACTATTGTACATTCACGATATCAACATATTTTCAGCACAAAGAAGAAAATAAATAAATGAACATTTATCTAAAATTGACACAATTCTCTGCACTGTTTTAATAAGATCTTTTATATTTAAAGACTATTCCAACGCATGCAAGGTTAAATAATGTTTGCGTGTCATTTATATCTACTCACCTCCTTGCGTTGTTTCTCTACTATAGAAGTGACGTGGTACAGCAGGTCGTCTATCTTGGTTTCTGTGGAGTCCTTACCCATACCCGACAGAGACAGGGCCCTGTCCAAGGGGAAGAAGTCGTAATTCTCCTTCAGCAGCTGTAAATAACATCACAACAATTACAGGATCACAAACACATTATTTTACACTATTCCGTGATCACAAAAATCGTCAATGTGCGATGTAATGATGCAAATGAAGCGTAAATTATCATATTTAACCGGGCACCGTTTTTGTACAAAGTACATTCTAGCAGCAAATATTAAAAACCAAAAAGTAGTGTGTAAGCGTTAATGTTAAGGGAATTACTGCACAAGTTAAGATTGCGAAGAAAAGTTCCACTGTAAGGCTAGTTTTAAAAAACAAAAGTATCTATAATTCCTTGACAGCAACGGCGATAGTAAAGAGAAGGAGCAGTGGAAAGGGCCTTTGTTAGGCCCTAGATATTTTTTGTTTCGTTTTTTATCAACGTTTTTGTTTTAAGATACTGATCTTACGAGCAACTTCGCGAACTATGATTTTGTAAAAAGAAAAAAAGCTTCTTTCTTTATTTTATTTTGTAGCAAATGACTAAAACAAATATATCATAGTTTTTTAAAGAAAAAGTAAACATTCACCAATTTGTGGACGTAGAGCTCCAAAGCTGTGAAGTCATTGATCTTGGTGCCGTTAAGATGAATGAAGAAGAAGATGTACGCCCACATATTGTGTTCGTGCTGCACGTGGTGGTCGAATCCCTGTGTAAAGCAGTAATATAAATTATTTAAATTGAAGTGGGGGTACACATATTCATGACTGTGTTTCAATTCTGAGGATTAGGATTGTCATAAGAATGATAACTGATAAGTTTGCAATTATGACCACATATTATCAAAAATACTTGTAGATAAATTGACATAATTTGATCTACACATCAACCACATGTAGTGAGGTTCTCAGATGTCTTTACCTTCCCATGGTGTTCAAAATCATAACTGTTTCTGCTACATATGAAGCAAGTGTCTCTCATGTCAGCCTCCGCTGTCCACTGTGAACATAAAATACGTCTGATTATATTAACTACACATCTATAATGACGTCATGAAGTACACTTATGCTTACTCGAAGGATCGATTATAACTACACACGTCCGATTATGCCTGTGTACCCATGTATGGCATTACCTTCATGTTACCTTACCAAATTCAAATAACATTCCTATCACCTATGCACGTCACTCAGCCTCCATTAAATAGCATGTACGATACATAAATGTATTGCAACTGAATGTTGGATTTTGATAATTGATTTTTCTATGATATTTTATATTTTTAGAAAGGAAATATAAACGTGCTTCGTTGAATTCGTAATTTCCATTTTTTCCCTATAAATGCAAACAGACTGGGTTCAATGTTATAAGTGTAGGAACGTTGATTTTGCCTGCAAGTTTTGTAACTTTACCAAAGGCATGCTACTATCCTTGCAATACTTATCGAGAATGATGTTAAATTTCTACTTGTCATTTGCATGTCAATGTTAACTTTGCATTCACAAGAATCCTCATTGTACTTACACTGGTGCTACACCTTATGAACGGTGATTATCGTTTGTTAATTGCAATAATATTAAAATCTTTATTTTGTTGAATTTGCTTTACTGGAAATCGAACAATTCCATCGGTTGCATAGTTTTAAATTCATACCTTGAGATCCCTGAGCTCAGAAAAGGTGTCGACGATGATTCCGAAGATGATGTTGAGACCAATGGTGGTGATGAAGATGAAGAAGGAGACATGATACAAGACAACAAAGCCGAACTTCTGAAAAGTGGCTTCCATCTTGTGCGCTTTCATAACCTGTTAAAGAAAATGGGAAACACTTAAATAGGTTTTTATGAAAAAATATAAAACATTTCTATTATAACCACTCGACGGTTTTCTGGGGTTTCCATCCTCTCAAATATAAAATTCCGTTCCCTGCAAGGTAATAATTCTTTCCCCGAAGGCCCGCACATACCGTCACCATGGTGACAACCACGAGCAGGTCTCCTATGGTTGTGACGATGGTTCTTACCTCGAACATGTTACCTGTGAGCCCACATTTTGACAACGGTACTCACTTCGAACCGGTATCCTATTATCCTGTAACGTGAAGATGGTTCTTACCTCGAACAGGTCTCCTATAAGCCCGTACCGTACTACAGTGATAGTACACTGCCACAGTGTGTCACAGTAGAGATAGTCGCTCGGTTGGAACATACTCCGCATCATTGCGAACCCAACAATACCGTACAGGTAGAACACACACAGGCCCAGGACCGCCACCCATAGCAACGATTTACCTAGCAACAGAAATTACGAATTATCATTAATGCATATGAATTATCGTGGTAAAATAGTTTATTAAAACAATACGCAGAGATTATCTAGAGGGAGAGTGATATCCGAGACGAGATTGTAGGATTCACAGGATGTACTTTTAACAATAGACGAGAGATGAGATGGAATAGGCAAACAAATATGTACCTGTTACAAAACGACTATTTATTCATTTCTTATGTTGATGTTATTTTGCTGTTTTGTGCATTTGAAGTAACTACAAAAGCCTTTTTTGAATCTACCATTCTGTGTGACGGCCTTGATGACTCCGCCGAGCAGCTGGTTATTGTTGACGATGTTCAACAGGTGGAAGGCAAAGAAATACCCATGGTAGATGGTCCCACCTACCGATAGACCCAGGAACGCCTGTAAGATATACCAATACAACAGTGAAACTTCAGACAGGACAGTCCTATGTACAATGCACCAAATATAATAATTTGTCCGAAGATATTTTTTTTGCAATTTTGATACTTAGCAAATAACGCTTTACAACATTAGTGATACCTGTTCAGCAGTGATCGTGGTATACGTGCTTTATTACGATACGAGTAGGTAATTACGTATAACAGTCCCTTACAATGTAGTAAAATGTGGTGAAACTGAAGAGTTTTGCATCAAGCTTTGACTGGTGTTTCTTCTTCTTCTCCTCTTCTAACTCATCGTCCTTCTTTTTACGTGAACACGTGTTTCTGAAATAATTAAACCACGATTGTCGTAAATGAGAATACTGATACCAAATGAAAAAGGACTGTGTTTATAATCTTTCTTTTCATTTTACACCCAATTCCGAAAACGACATAATGAATTTGTTATATCAAGTCACATACATATGTCAAAATAAAGGTAAGAGAAAAGATAATTTACCGAAAGAGAATGTTCGTGATACACATTTATTTTACCGAAGGAAGATGATTATACCGTGTGATTTGTATGACTAGTGTTTACCGTATGGACTTGAATATGGCACGGAAGTGAGGCATCCTGGGATGGTTTCCGACAAAGTAGCTGATGAATACAAGCAGGGAGAAGAAATTGTGTAGGCCTCCCAATGTGTAGATTGCCATCTCATACTCGCCTACTTTCAGGTTCTGTATGACAGGAATTGGGCTGGAAAAAGATTGGATATGGAGAAAATGTGAAAAAAATAACATATAATGTGACACAAAACTGTAAAGATGTATTATAGTAAATCGTTTTGATGAACATTAGAATAAGGATAATATTTGAAAGGAATGAATATTACACTGTTATGCTCCTATTGGTGGTTTAATTTTCATGTAAATACCCAGATAATAGAAAACGGTATCAAGACTTCATGTTTATCATTTTGTACCCGTCATACTCTATACATCAATACGAATAGGACCGTTATGACGAATTATCTACACAGACTGGCGAATGTTTAAATCTTACTCGATCAAACTTGCGGGGATCGCAGTAGTGTTGTCCATTATGCCAGGTGTCGCTAGTGACGCCTTTGCCTGCCACGTGACCAGCATCAAGATGTTGATAGCGAAACTAACGATGGTTACCAGGTGATTCCATATAAGCCTGTAAAACACATCAATGACTCTTAACTCTTACAATATGTCAGATAAAGTAAAGAGTTTTGTGCAACAAAAAGAAGCAGTTTATGAAATCCTGTCAGTACATTTTGTTTCTTCGTGCAAACACTGCTACCACGACTAAAATATAAATGATACTATTTGAAAACATGTGCACCCTCTGGTAACTACATTTCTTTAACGACAGAAAATGATTAGGGACCTCTCAAAAAGTACTTTTGAGTCTGAACATTAGATTTAACGTCACTTTGAAATTTACATATCGTCAGATTGTTACTGCTGATGATATCACAGTTTCATATCTTCATAACCACATTACCAAACTGATATTTCCCATATTTCAGTGCAATGACAATACCATGTTTTTATCATACTGATACATCCCAATTGCACTCTTAACATGTAATAAAAATATTTTCTGACCATATCTTTATATAACTGATAGCTACATGATTGCTGAGTAGGGTGTACATACCATCCCTTTGTGAGACCGATAGCAATGGGGTTGCCGAGTAGGGTTTACATACTGTCCCTTTGTGAGACCGGTAGCTATGGGGTTACTGAGTAGGGTGTACATACCATCCCTTTGTGGGACCGATAGCTATGGGGTTGCTGAGTAGGGAGTACATACCATCCCTTTGTGAGACCGATAGCTATGGGGTTACTGAGGATTTTCCTCTGGTAAGCTATGTCTTTCATGATATCCTTGGTCCATTCCATGACGTCGCGGATTTTGTTGCTCGGAGAAGAACGGTCGACATTCCATTTGAGGCTTTCTTTTACTTCCTCTCGCAACACTCGCTGGAACAGATTAAGTGTTGAACAATATTGATTTAACGGCTCGGTGCATGTTATATCTGCCCTCTTATGATAGTTACAGCAAACTTGTTATATACGCACGTAGCTGCTCGGCGGCCGGTAGAGTTTTTACGGCTCTGACGACCGGTCACTTTCTTAAATGCTTGAAATTCTTTCCTTCTGCGTTTAAAGCTAAAATGATCGTACTTGTAAATTCCCAACACACATGTCAGTTCTACTCGTCAAGCGTTTTACGCACATATAACTCCGAGTGTTTTAAGTACATAACAAATATCCCTCGTATAAAAAGAAACGGCGAGAAAATTAAATTTCTGTGTAAGACGTGATCGCCAACTATAATGTATTGATCTCAAACGTCCGTTTATTTGTTGTCGGTAAATTGTATACTTTTGTTTACCAAACATTAACTGATGTAAAAATATCAACATTCACTCCCTCTACTTGTCACAAACACCTTTCTCAATACGAATGTCTGTTTCCGTTACCTTGTTTGATATATTTTTTACGTTCCCTGCGATCCCTGCTTGAACGTTTCCCTGCGTTCTATGTTTTCTGCTTGAACAATGTTGATAGAGGTTAATTGATGTTTTTCTGTGCATGATTATGAAAAAAAACACGCTTAATATATAAGATACGTTTATATTTCATCACTCTGTCAGTACGAATTTCTGTTTTTGTACCTTGTTTTTGACCCGGAAGTTGACCTTCTGGAGTTCGTCGTCCTTTACAAGTTCTATTGACATACAGTTCTTCTTGTAGAAGTTAAACGCTTTCATCTGTAAGGGTTGCATTTTCACTGGAGGGTAAAGAAAACAGAGCGTTTTTGCATAATATTTTGTTCCTATCCATAATATCTGTATACAGTAACAATGGAAGGGAAATCTGATTGAAAGATTGATCTTTACGAAACTTAAACAACAACTTTTCATTAATGGCAAAACTTAAAACAAATATGTATGCAAAATTGATGATAATATTTAAATGTGGTTACACAATCTGTGTTATTAAAGGAATCCCAAACCTTATTTCAATAATAATTCGAGGTCCTTATATACCGTTTTGTCACAACCTGGTCCGTAGGTCGTCTCAAAGCGGTTCACAAATTATTATCCGTTGTTATAATTATAGGGCCTTTGCAGCCAGCCAAAACCTTTCTCAACTCCCTTCAATATTGAAGATATATATAGTATTATGTAAGGAGTCGCACATTTAACTGTTCCCACATTTAACTGTTCCCACATCTAACTGTTCCCATGTGATATAAAGGTAGGAGTAGGTTATTTATGAACACTAGAAATATAAATTAAGTGTATGCACCGGATATGCATATTTTGATTAATTGAATCGCATCGGCGATGTTCGAGAGTAAAATATTATAGTTACAAAAAGTGTGAGATGAAATCTGGGTAGAATGGCTGCTGAATATAATACAGTTATCTTTATATGACCAAGGCAGATATGACCGTCCATTTATATTCTCTCTATTATTGAAACATGAACTCACATTGGTCGCATAGTTTGGGGTCAACATCCCCCATCCGGGCAAGAATAAGATACAACCGAAATCCAACATCCATATACGTGTCCGCCATCTCGTCCTTCTGGTTACCCTGGTAATGCGCGAAACGGTAATACAGTATATTCTGATTAAGTACACATTATTAATTTATATATTTCGATAAGACTGCGGTACTTATTAATTGACAAACCTTATTTTATAGAGCACACGGTTTGCTTTTTATTGCTTTCTTTTTATTCAAAACATGTAAATTTAATTTAAATTGTACAAAGCAGATAACATTATTTGCATGATTAACAAGAACCTTCTCAACTGCCACCTGGAATGGTAGCAATTCCGTCGTGGTATAGTATAACTCAGTTATAACACCATACAACATGGTACACTACCATTACGCCCTGCAGGAAACTGCCGCCAGCGAATGCGAACGATTTCATCTTAGACTGCGGTTCTCCAACTTCGCCTGATGTGATGTTCTTCAACTCCTCCAACTTCTTCTTGTCCGGTTGATGCATCTCGTAACACTCGGTAATCAGCTGGAGCACGGATTTCTTGTCCAAGGTGTCTTTCACTTCCTATAGGGTCACAGTATATACACGTTTTTATGGTTTGTATCAATATATCTCAGATTCCTTAACCTCATGCACATAATATATTCACTGTAAGATTTAACAATAGCTCCACAAATAATTTTACGATCTGCCGCTTTAAAACATCACATCAGAACTGAACATCAATAAAATCATATTTCATTTGAACCAAAACTTTTATGGATAAAAAGACAACTCCGTGATAGATATAAATAATGAAGATTTGCTTGCCACTGTTAATTCTGATGCCCCGTGTCCATTCTCCTCTATGAGTGACAGAATCAAATTGGCTATACTCTCTCTTAGTCCAAGTATCTGCAAAGGAAAGCATCCCAGTCTCACTCCACTCGGCTACTTAAAAAATGTACACCAACACAAATGTACTACTTGCCGCTAGCTCGCCGAATGGACGTAGGGCGGTGTGCGTTTAATCAATATACAGCGTTATATACCACTACATATGTATATTTCAACAACGTTTCAAAAATATGAGACTGACGACTAAAATGTACCCATGATAATGCGGACTAAACAATGCTCCATGTGTACGTCAAAAGATGTACATCTCCAAGTCTGACTGCGAAAAAAACCCCGATAGAAACCCCCGGTCATCGAAATCAACCTGCATAGTCCCCGGAAACCTGTATCCAAAAGCGGGAATAACTATTACCTCCCTGCAAGCCCGATTTCTGCGAGGCGACAGTTGCACCACTGTCTTACTCTGTCCTAAAAAGATCCGTCATGTCCTACCATAATCTGAGTTATGCCAACAACTGACAAAAAATAAAACACGAAATAACACGAATATAACTGTGATTATCGTGAACAAAAACCCTGTTGTGGACTTAACGCAAATTTGCATTCCGTATAAAAAAATCGGTTATAAAAAACTGCACATAACGGCGCAACAACCCCAAATACCACAACAACAAAACTAAGAAAAAAGGTTGTGCCATTGGAAAAGTTTAAGCGAACTATCCGTCCTGCTGGGGCGACTAGAAATGACACACCAGGGTCATACCCACTATCGCCAGTGTACCAGGTACACGTCACAGCACGCGCCTGCTAGTGCAGAAAACTAGCCCTAGTGCCGCACGAGACAAATTATCCCCGCTATACTGCGAACCGCGGGAATATTTAAGTACACACACACAATGTTTGATTTTGTTATGTATAGTTATGTTTATTACCCTCTACAATAACGTTTGCTCATTGTAGTTTCAAACATTCATTACAGTTTACACAAATATCCTTCTCTTAATAGATTTATGAGTGTATCTTGAATGCAACCTTATGTTTGATTGAAATTGTAAAAATAGATGCATTAGAACTTTGTGTAAGCGTTATTGTCAAAATGTGGAATTAAATCAACATTTTTCCATTACTGCTTGGCGCTGAATGTATAATGTTACTGACTTCACTAAGAGATACAAGGTCTTATCAGATGAATAGATAATGATTAAATAGATGATATTGGCAAACTTGTTATATTTCTTACCTTTTCTGTCGAACAATACTCGATGTCACCGGCTCTCAGGATAAAATTTATGTAATCTATAATTTTATTGTCGTAAATGACGATTCTGTTTTCCTGATTCCCCTGTAAACACAAAGCATTGTATAAGTGCTCAGAAAATATATGATGGATGAAAATCGATCCTGTAGAATTCTTAATGAGAGTTTCCTCCCTTCGTGCCTAGACGTCGTTTATATAATACCTTCCTTACTGGAAGTTAGCAATGGTGACGATGATTTTCACTCAGAATATACATGCCATAACTGTAAACCGTTGGTGTTAAAAATCATTGCAATTTTGATAATTAAGATAGTAACTAAAATATATGTCCCTATGTATCCTCCTTTATTTCGATAGCAAACTAACCTACCAACTCATGCAGAAAATTAATAAACATAATAATTACCCTAACTCTAGTTAAATTAACTGTATACATACTGCAGTGAACTCGTTCATAGTGTCGAAGAGTTGTATGACAAGGTCGATGTTTTTGCCGGTTATATTGGAGTACACCACGTTCAGGAACCTAGTCACTTCGGCGATAATGTTAAATGACTTGACGTTGTCTGGTTGTTCCCGCAGGTAATCCTTCAACACAATATTTAAAATGTTTAATACAAATCGACCCATTGAGTGAGTGATCCATTAGAGCGAATAAAATAAAATAAATTGATAATCAGAGACTACAGATTATTTTTCTTCTTGAACTTCAAGCACATTTAACAGGCGATTAAAAGATAACCCCGTACTAAAATGCAATGAAACCTTTTGAATAATGCTCATCTTATCTTATCTGTTATGAGTAATTTATTATAAAGTACTGTGGCGACTTTTTGAAGGTACTAACAAGTTCCTCTGAAAGTACTTGTTATTTTATATATATTTCGCATATTAATGAAACATTAAACGATATACATATAACTAAAAACTTCACCGAGATAAACAAGACATTTACCAGACTTTTGAGAAGTTCGATAGGTGGTCACAGCTGAGAATTACTATTATGTTTATATGTTGGACGAAAGACTACAGGCTTTGTGGATGATAGCAATGTAGGAGTGCGACATTTCAATTAAAAAACTATTGATTTTGAACACAATGATAAGGACACGTGAGTAATATGAAATGTAGGTATCTCCGACACCGGAGTGTCACAAAGGAAATAAAATACCTGTAAATGCTGGTTCTGGCCGTCACACATGCGTGCCATTACTTTGAGTACAAGTTCAATATAACCGTCGTTTCTGTATTCCAACGACGAGTCGTCATCATTATTTTGAATTTCCGGTTCCGGTGGATCCTTACATGAAATTAAAATTGAAGATCATCAAATTAAGGATTCAAACAATCATTTTTCAACGAATGACTTCTGATAGTTTCCTATAGAAAACATATTTCTTGCAAAGTTTTGCAACAAAAGTAAATTTATGAATAAGTATGTCAATAAATACTCTACCTCTATCTTGATAGCGATAAGTTCCGTGTCCATGTCCTGGTTCACAATCAGTGCCTGGGCCTCCTTTGTCAGTGGGGACGCGAAGGATACTTCCTTCTTTAGACCGTTAGAGGAAGAATCCTTCACCTTGGATGGTTTCTTCTTCCTTTCCTTCGGGGCTTTAGGTTTCTTGTTTTTCTTTTTCTTTTTACATTTAACACTGGGTGGTCGACGTCTCGTCTGCAAATATAAGACGACGTTGATAAACTCGTATATATTTTATACAGAGATAGGGAACGAAATACAAGGTCTGATATTTTCCTATTTTTCTGTGTTTTTTTTGCTGCTGTATTATACATCAACGACATCTTTATCAAGAAATGCTTCAGATTTAAACATTACAGAATGCATGGTCAACACTGCATATTGAATGAAGTATTTCCCTCATAAGAGCACTACATTAAATAAAATAACGCTGCTTTAACGAAAATAGCACTTACTGTAATAAAATAGCACTGCCTGTAATTAAATAGCACTTACTGTAATCAAATACCACTACCTGTAATAAAATAACGCTGCTTTAATGAAAATAGCACTGCCTGTAATCAAATAGCACTTACTATAATAACATACCACTACCTGTAATAAAATAGCCCTTCCTATTAAATCTATTTAATTTACATTGCTATAACTTACCCATCCTGACAGTCGTTGTTGCCGTAGTGCATCTTCATAGGCCTGAATTTGCTAAAAGAATAAACATCATAAACATTTTATTTGTCTACAATTAAACATCAATCAAATTAGGCTTATCTTAACTCCAACTGTTCATGAAGCTTATTGCTTGTAAATTGTCTTTCAATAGCATCGATGGTAAATTATTCTTAAAAAAAAGTAAACTTGTTTCAAATTATTGCATGTTAAATAGTTAAACTCAACTCATGATAGTCGTATAGGTGTACCTAGAGGGCCAGGATAGTTACAGAGATCGTTAGACACCAAATTCGTGTCAAATGTGATTTCTGAGAACTAGGATAGTGTTATGGTTGTTTGACAACATATTGCGGTCGGATATTTTTACTTCGAGGGCAACACATTGCCGTTTGATGTCTGTATTTTGAGGGCCAGTAGAGTGGTTTCGATAACAAATTTTAGTTGGATGTTTGTACCTTTAGTGCCATGATACTGACAGGAAATCCCTTCCTTAGCTTGGTACCAAATGTATCTGTAGCATCTTTTTTCTTTGCATCCTGTTGGGCTTGGAGAGAACGCCTAGAATTCAAATATTCAACTTCTCCATGTATTAATTTAAAAACTGGTAACACTGTGCATTATAATTAATCGTGCAATGAATTATTTTTTGGAAAGTCAAAATGCAGGTATTCTAAAGAAAGATTGTCTTGTCGAGTGTCTTCTTATATCAAGAAAGATATTGTACTTTCATGGAATCCAATGTCGGCAACGGATGAAGTAATACACTGAAATACATTTCTTTTTCCATACATATCAGATTAGCATTTATATATATATACATATACATAATGTTTGCTTAAATGTAGTGTTTTTTTAATATAAAATGTCATGAAGCATCACTATAGGATTGATAATATATATCATACAAAGATCACAGCTGTTCAATAGCAAAACTTTTGTCGAATAAAATTATACACTCCCCGATATTTATCATTAGAAACAATTTAAACATGTGATTTGACCCTGATGCTGTAAAAAAGAAACGTCATCAAGTCGAAGATAATATATGGTCACACATATCTCATGCAGAATAGATAAAAGTGTAGAACCCGAAACGACCTTTACATTCACAACATCCTTCTAAATACATAAAGGTCAGACAAACACAATTCTACGTAACTTGTTATATAACTCTTTGTTAAAAACTGAAACAGATGTGACAGTTCCTATTTCCGGAAGAACTACTTGGAGAAATACTCCTTAATCATTTCAACAGTTTAGTTTTCAAAATGGTTGAATTGATACTTGTCTATAATTATTGCTAAGGTGATGGTTATAATCATATTCCTCGCATAACACTGATGTGAAAGTTGCGTATTTGGGACAAGAAATATTGCCATAAAACATTGCCAAATCTTTATAAAAACATACTTTAACACTTCACTGAAAACATAAAAAGGACATTCATATTCATACATGCATCTAATTGTAATAGTTATTCATATTATGTCTTAAATATATGCACTTTCAAGGTAAGACATACAAACGAATTAATTCAATTTATGCAAGTTCATTTTTCATTACCATTGGCGATATATATGTACCTTTATGTCTATTTTTCTAAGTAAACTAAAAAATACAGTATAAATTGACATGTTTCCATACCATTTTAAATTTCCATTGAAGTAGATAGAGTGATTTATCGACGTTTAAGATTATTTACCTCGGTTTCAGCCTCGGGAGATATTATTTTCCTCAGTTTTATATAAAAAAAACCGTTGTATCTGCCTCAACGGAGGCTATTATTTGCTTACACATTTTACATTTTACATACCATACATACCATATGAACAACGAAGGACTCTCACCCCAATGGCCGAAATGATGTTTTTGTATTATGCTTTAAGTTAAAAGCTTTACTGAAAAAGTATTTTTTATATATCAATCAAACTGTAATTTAAAATGGAATCTATGGGAAATCCCACGGAAACTCCCATTGGTGCTAATTTAGTACGTTTTCATGCAATCCTATATAGACTTCCTGCTGTCTCAAGGTCGATATAGCATTATATTAAGTTCAGCAGAGGAGGTCTCAACCAATCAGACTGAGGAAATGTGGAGGTTTCCTCTTTAACTAACAGGAACTGCATGCTAGGAGGGGATGCTATTGCGTCAGTAAGAGAACAAGGAAGGGAGACTACTCCGTCTGTCTCAGTACAAAGATGGAAGACTACTGTGTATCTTACATTATCTGATTGAACTGTTAGCTAGACTTAGCCTTTAATACCGCTAATGAAGTTCATCCTATCCAAAACTGCCCTGTCATATGTATGAATGATATTTCAGTTATTGAATGAATATTATTCAATGCATCTCTGCTGATTTTGCATTTAAATAACAAATTTGGTTCCTTTTTTGTAATGACCATTGGTATTGCAGGCACGACCGATTATTCTAAATAACAATCTTATTTCGTTTACTTTGGTTATTTTTAGAGCATGTCCCCATATTTCTCCATAATTCAACGGAAAAGATAGCATCGTACCTGCTGTTTTATTTCAAGTGTGTTTGTACACATACAAACTTATATTTTACACCCATATAAACGAGCTATACAAGTTTGTTTTTTTACAAATTCATATATTATTATCGAACCTGCACAATTTTTGTCATACGTGTGAAAATATCTCAAACGTTTCAAAATAAACAATGTGCACCACATTCCATTTTTCAGAGCAGAACAATGAAATCCGTATAGTTTGAAAAAAATTATACGAAATTGATATAGAATGTATTAAAGCGGCAAAAAGCTTGAACAAGCTGTAGATGTCAAATAAGTGACATTCTTACCGATTTGATGGTCGTTACAAAACAAACTCAATTAACAAAAACAAATTTGCATAAAATGTCACATCGTCTTCACTCCTAGTGCTGGACAGTAATTTGTGTCACATAACTACTCAATTTATTTAAAGCCGAGTACTTTTGTTTCATGTATTCTTTAACGAACTTTAGACTTTCACTTTTTAATGTCAAACACGTGAATACTATTTATTCCATCGCTTTCTAGATTATCAATTATGTATCTAGAATACTTAAGATCTCAATTATTCAATAAAAATATATAAAATTCCTAACTTTGAAAAATAGCATCATATTTTATCATTTACATTGAGGTTCATGCAAATTACAATAACATGTACACACATGGGACGCAATCAGGAGGCAAACACGATGCGCATCTATAAGCAGATCTAAAGAAGAAAAGTTCAATAAAACATTAGGTAAAATGGATTGTGAGAAACGCACCTACTCAGCAGAGTTCTGTGTACACAGCCGTGAAAGGTAATATATAGGATTAGTAGATACAACACACTGGGGCGGGGCAAACGATGGTGTGAGGGGCAGGGACAACACACAGGGGGTAGGGCAAACAAACGTGAGGGGCAGGGGATAGTGATTCAGGTCTAAGTGTGTTAAACATGTCAACATTGCAATCAGTGTATTTTTTCTCGGTTTGATATCACAAATCTTATATCACAGAGACATAGAAAAGTATATCGTTAGTTAGGGTAGATGTTTCTGCATTAAAGCTAAAACATGCTGCTTTGTAACGAATGAATCAATTGTAAGCTTATTCTCGAGATAAAACATATTACTAGATACTTAGGATGATCTTATTAAACTAGTAGTTCCTGCACACAGGTTATTCATTAAGTGATTCGAGATGTTGGTTATTCAAAATGATAAGAAGTAGAAACTTTAACCCCTTCGAACTCTAAACGGACGCTACACAATTTCAAACTGGCATTTCGCTCTCTTTTAGATATTTATTACGACAGGACACCCGTATACTGTATACCGTGAAACTTTCGCTCCGTTCAACTTCCGCCCTTCACCGACGGAGTCCTTATTCGCCCAGCGATAATTCGCCTTACAACGCCGACAGTGGAACACACTATACGTCATTTCTTTTTAAACTTTCGCCGTCATGTTAAATTCGCCCTCAGATCGGAAGGCGAAAGGGGCGAACGTTTAACTGCGGCGATAGTTTCCCGGTATAAAATATTACAAACAAAACAATACCCCATGGTGTGTTGAGGGGCGTTTCTATTGGCAGTAATTAGTAAACATTATCATATTAATCCTGAACTTCAATAGCACAACACATTCATATACAATTTTAGACCACAAACACTAGTCTATCATTGCAATTTAAGGACAAATCGACCAGTTATACAAGGTACATTATCTATATATTCTACAAACAGTGACGACAGGGTTTAACTTTGCCAGCTTTGACCTTACTTTTCCTTGATGGAGTTGGTGGACAAGGCCATTCTGTCCCGGACAGCCATGAAGAATACTTCTTCTCGTGTGGACAGGAAATAGTTCAGCATGGATTGCTGTAATAAAGGTGCAACATTCTCATAGTGAGTGATTCTTGGTAAACACGTGTATCATCTACGTGCTACTATTTACCATCTGACATGTTAAATCCATTTACATGGAGTGTTAGTGTGAAACCCATATCAATTTGTCCATTTAAAAGCGCTGCCCATACGGATATAGTCCATCTGTATTAGATCAACAACAATATATTTAGGAAAGCAACAGAAAATTCTGCTAACGCACGTGCCATTTATTTTCTGATCAAGTTGAGGTTTCAGTCGATATTTCCTTAATCATACTACAGTAATCAGTACGCTTTGTGAGTACCATGTGTCACCATGTTACCTGTACTGAGGTATTGGCGTTAAACAGCAGTATACACAAGAAGCCCAAGACTTCCTTGGCCAGTTCCTCGTTACGTGTGGACAGGTGGGGTAAGGCCTTGTTCATCGCTCCCTTTTTGTCGTACAGATTCTGTATACCGGTAATTAACCTCAGAGCCCTGCAATGTATTACAAAATAAGACAATGGTCTTGTAAAATATATAACATGGCATGTAAAATTGTGACATTTGATATCAAGAATCTTGTACTGCCTGTGACATTTTCTGTTAAGTGTGTAACATTGCATAGAAAGTGTATTATATTGTTTGTGAAGTTTACTTCGTTGATTGAACAAATAAGTACACATGTATTTGTATACAGTAAACTTATCAAATATTCTGAAGATGTTTGTTAAGTAGAATATTACTGTTCTATTTCATAATATTTTTCGCGCAGGGATTACATGTATGTCTTTGTTTCATTGTATGATCAACATTCAAAATAATGAAATTATATAAACTTTTTAATTTTTGGTTCAGTAGTCCTCGTTTCCCAGTCATCAGGCATCTTGCGCTCCTCGTTATGTACTATGGCCCGTAGGAGCTGGATACATTTGATATTTAAGTCGTCCATCTCCTGTCTGGCCGCCTCGCTCATCCGCTTGTGACCCATCGATATACTTTGGAAAAAACAAATGTATACATAACTTACAATCACGTTGACAAAGTTTAGAATAGGCAAAGCATAATTATTATGTTTCAGACATTTATGAAGGCAAAATATCGATAGAGTGCAAACAAATCACGTATGCTTTAAAAAGGTTAAAACATGAAAGGTTTCAGGCAGATTGATATGTGTATATGACACATATATAGTAATATGACAGCCAAGACCATAGGCATACAATATCAAATTATCAACAGAAAACTAACCCCAAAGGATGCATGCTTGTACACTAAAATTAATTCAACCTGAATGTTTCTAACCATCTTTTTTTCAAAACAATAAAACAAGATGCAAAACAAATCTTTATCATTTGAAAACAAACATCTAATACGTCAATCCGTCTTTCAACATGTACATGTATAACATTGATTGTACAATCACAATTATGATACTTATTTTAGAAGAAGATTTGATCTTTCAGTAATTGCTTATTCTAGTAAGAACCCTTGTATTTGTCATTGTTGCCATATCATCGTTTCACACTCGTCTTTGTGGTATAACTGAATACTTACTGAAGCTGCTCTATCAATATAGCCGCCGGTTCGTATTTTTTGTCTATTTTTTTCTCATTTGCATGGATGAAGCATTTAACGTGACTCTGGAACTCCTCCCCTAGCGGTATTTCCTCGTTACCGCCGAGTTCTGTGTATTCTATGAAACAAAAACGCAATGGAATCGATGTTTTTAACGAGTGGATATAGAAACACGTTGCATTGTAAAGTAGGCGCTGATGATAAATATATACTCACCGTATAAACAAACGGAACAAACGGAGCAAATGTAAATAGAAATTCAGCACAATTACGATATATGTTTGTACAAATATCTGTTGGACAACAGTAGAAACATTTTTCTATCTCTTACAATATCCATATCAATTGGTGTTACGTGTTTTCGATATAAATAGTCTGAATTGACCACTCCTGACCTTACCTCTGCTAGACTTTACTTTCAGCTGAGCTTGAACTTTGTTGTGCCCAAAGAAGACCACGGACACATTTTTAGCAAATGTCCGGAATTTACAGTTGATTTCAACTTCATCAGCGTAGTATTCTATGTTTCCCTGAAATAAAATTAATTCCTTGTGGATATATATAGTAATATGCATATCTACAAAAGGCACAAGTACCCAAAAGTTTTGACGACTAAATTCTTAATATTGATTAATATTAAACTATTATCTATCTACATTAGCATTATTGAAAACATGTAGTATATGCATCTACCTTATATTTACTTCAAAGGAAAGATATATGAATTAATATTATTGTCATTAAGACAACTTTCGCAAGTAAATGTGCCAAGCGGCTGAAGATGTGTATTAAGGTCAGCAATAGTGTTGCACACATCTAAGTTATAAGTTATTACATGGGGAATGTAAATTGTGTTACTATGTAAAATTGTGTTACTATGTACGAGTTTATCAGAAATGTATATAAACTGTAGCTTATCAAATGTAATAGGTGAGTACAGGGAAACTAAGATTACATGTTTTTACGATAAGAGAGGACGTACGAAATGTAGGTTCTATGTTTTGCATTATAAATTAGTACCAAGGAATACTGGAACTGGTGGCTATATAAATATATAATGTGTGAGTACGTACCCGTCGTACAGCACTAGATGTATCCTCAACGGTGATCCCGGAGGAGAACCGGTCAAGTACGTGGTCTATGTTCTATATTTAGACAACAAGCACATAAACAAAATTATCGCAATTATAACAGACAATAACAGTTGTAAGTTCTTTTTCTTTAACTTTCCTTAATAATTTGAACATGTGATTTAACTTGTGATTATCCTAACAAAAGTCGATACGTCTGTGTCGGTCTTAACAACATTCATACTGCTTTTTTGCGTTTTTAACTTATAAACATTGTTCCATATACATTACATACTGTTGTACTAAAGACCGATTCACATCATTTGATTTTGTACATTTGGCATCACTAAAGGAAATGCGGGCATGTTTGCCATCTGTGGAGGCAATCGGGTATTATATCATCCAATTTAACCTTAAGGCTTCTTTCTTAATCCAAGCATGTTATACATATGTGGGTAAATATATTCCAATTATTGTTATGATCAAGATGATATACAAATCTGTAAAAGTAATAAAACGAAACATAACAAATAACAGGTGAAGAAGAAATAAACAATGTTAAGGCTTTGGTGAAAATATACTATTCCTATATCTAGCAAAATAGTAAATTAGTATTCAATAATCGGTATAAGAAAAGAAGGAGTTTGGAACTCTGTTAAGAGACAAAAATGTCACATCTAAACGTGCGCAATATGTTAGTGCAAAGCGGAATTAGATTAAAGGTTTTAGTAGGAGGTTAAACACCACTACAGTTAGTTTGTGGAGTAGTGGGGAATTCGGGACTAGAAGCAAAGCCTAACCTAAAAAGGAAAAAGAAATTACCGTAATTGTGTGTAGGATGGTCAATACTGCCTAACAAGTGAAACATGTCACACATAACACTTCAATAATAAATATCTGTCAATCAATCGTGCATGCTATATACGAAATTGTCTTTAGCAAAAATACTTTCTGAAAGGAATATTATCGTTATTGCTAACCAAAGAAATATTTCCACTTAGCTACATTCGAGATTTATCTACGTTGGTCAGACCGAAATATCGACTTCTTGGACAATCGTCATCATTGCGCGTTCAACAGTAAAGCAAACAAAAACGCCTCGCTTCCTCAATCCTATGGTTGACGCATGAGCAATACAACACTATTTGAACAAAATTAGCAAGACGAAATCTCCATCAGACAAATTTTAAAAATGTTTGTAAAACATTAAGATTCCCTCATTCCCGCTTTGATAGAAGATAAATGCTAAATCTATCCAAATAAATAGAGATTAAATCAAAATCTTCCAAAATACATTGAAGCGGAAAATACTGGTTACAATGACCTACATTTAATATATTTGTGTCGTACTTACCAAGAGGTATCAACAACAATTTGACAAAATTTATATGAGTTATGGTGCTAAAGGCCAACTAACCATAACGCGTAAAGGGGAATATATAGTTCACAGTGACCAAAGAACTGATAAACTACCCTTGAATTCTTTACGATGTATCCAAATATGCAGTTTGATGAGTGTTGGGTGTGGGACTTTCAGTATTTAGCCAACTGAACTTTATGTAAGGTTTGACCACATTTCGTACGGGTTAATAGACAAGTACAAATGGCAAACACTTCAAACCCATTTACTTGTTCAGGGGGCATGAAAAGATGACTAAACATATGATCTTATGAACTGTACGACTCTAATCATGGGATGAATATAACGTTATGACTATAATAGCGATGACTTCACTCGTGCATCTCAATGTGAAAGGAATATGTGTCTTTTGAGCATTTTGGGGAATTATTAGAACAAGGAAACTGCAGCGTTAAGAATGGTTGCCAATGAACAGACGGACGAACAACAGAAAAAAATATATCACATCGTGCTAACTCACCCTCTTTTATTATGGAACGAACAGATGGATCATTCTTTAAGAATACCCTTACTAACTTGTAAGAAATATATTTTAAAAGGAAAATAGTTTATTTGCGAATTATTTGCTTTTTATCCTCATTAGTATCAATCTTACCGAGTTTGGCATATTTGAGATGGGGACAATGACCGTCAGGCAATTCACCATGTTCTTCATATGGGTAGGTTTGTAGAGGAGCGGGCCGACCATTTCACAGAACATCTAGAATAAACAACACATGGCTATGTGACAAATTTATTGTTGAATTGATTTGAAGATTTCATAAAACGTTTGAAATAAAGAAAATATCATGTACATATTCATACACTGATCTGACTATTTATGGCAATATTGATCTACTTTTTTAATGTCTCTCAGACGGATGACACCGTTATTTTCGTACCAACTACATATTTTCTTACCACTACTGCCTTTGCCATGTGATCCGTCTCGTCAACCTCGTTCCCAAACGTGGTCTGGTCTGGGTAGTAAAAATCCCGATAGAATGTCTCAAGGAATGGAAGTACTGCCTCCAGGAAGTAAAGCACACTTCCGTATGCAGATGACTCGAAGTCAGTGGCACTCGCCGACCCGCTGTCAAGTCAAATAGGAAAAAATATGATACTTTTTAAATTGTTTAATAGTTAATTATTTGTCTACCACTGACACCGCATGTATGCGACTAATGACGGCACATATGCCCAGACGTGCTATTATATAACGTTAACAGGTACATGCTCTTCACTGATGGGTGTGTACCGGCGTCAAGGCGAGCGTTAAACTTACACCTGTGTTGGAGCATGACCTATTTTGGGGCGAATCGACTATAGCTTAAGAAGCAAATCCCCATGGTTTGATTAAAACTTTAACTTATTTCACAATAACATTTCATAGCATACATTTTATGCAACAAGGATTCAGAAGAAAAAAAGTTTGAAACTTATGTAAATCTGTCTCCTTTAAAAATTTCACAAGCAGGTAGCGACTGATCAGATAAAAACTAAGTAATAGGAGAGGGAAAGGAATACATAAAGTGAGAAGATTGAGGGAGACAGGAAAGAGCAGATGTATATACCTTACGTAAGATATACTAATACAATATGATAAGGTATACATTTCGATTCACAGTGACACACGGGCATCTTTATAGACTATGGATAATAAGTACAATAAATAATAATATTCTGGTAATGAATGTAGTGATCAGTTATGAAAACATATTTAAATAGAAGCTCATGCAAATATGCTTAATGAAATGGTTTGGAGACACCTTTGGTGATCGTGAGGAACTTAACGACTGCCCATTATCTATATGAGATCCTTAGGCCACGTGTTGTGTCTTTTGTTAGGCGGCATCAATTTAACATATTCGTAATGGGCCACAAATATCCCCGACTTGTCCCGGATTGAGCACTTGTGAGATGAACTAGATAGAAGAGTTTGGAATCGCCGTAACCCCCAAATAATCTCCCACAACGGTTAGATACGTATTCGACGTTTAACGGTACATTTAAAAGTTAGATATCTTGCTCAAAATCTTGTTTTATTAACCCTTAAATTTGTTTGTTTTCGTTTCAGAATACATATATCAAATTGCAAATAACGAATCGCAACTGAATGTCTATTGGAAAAAAACAAAAACAAAATAATCGAAGGATACCGATGGAAAAGAATAACATTCAATAACCCTGCATGAGGGGATTTGCATTCAGGAAGGCATCATTGGTGATATTTCCTGCTTGCTTACGAAACACCCTTTTTAAAGTATGAGTAGAGTAAGTTATTCTTTTACTAATGACCAATCATGGAGAAAATCAACGAAAATCTAACTAGCACAGACAAATCAAATGCCATTTTGATATGAAACATTAGTATAATTGAATTTGTTGTACATGAAAAACAAGAACGTAACTGTTAATATCCTATTTATTCTCTAGAGCTTGAAATTTTCAAGATATCATATTTTTTCATTGTGAATTAATGTTGTGGTACATTTTTACTGGAACATTATCTACTACCATCTTACCTTTTCTCCGGAGCTGTTTTCAGATGAATCGCAATTTTGTCTGGATCTTCTTTGATGCTATCTGTTAGTCGGTTCATGTCAATCGACAGATTGGAGAGATACTCCCACAGGTCCCTGTAATAATACACGTAAGGCGTCCATGATTACCAAAGTAATAGTACTTCCTATACTTCTACAATAATGTGTCCATTATAAATAGTCAGTAACTACCATGATTACATTATTATATCTAAGAGGCAATTAAGAAATTAGTGTAAATAATTTAAAAAAAGTATAGACTGATACGTACTGCTTGCTACAGTAGGCCAACATGATAGTAGAAAAAATGACGCACTTATTTCATTATAATATTTAGAAAGTTACATCTGTTTACTTTTTCCTAATCCTGATATAAAATGACAGTCAAATTTAACTCCTCCCGTATTTGCTGAAATTCAGAGTATACATTTTGTTGTTGAGAAACCTTAAGAAAAGCATTTTACATAATTTTTTTTTTATAAATCCTGACGTACTCTTTGTTGACTATTTTTCTTTTCTTTTAAAGTTGTGTAAATGACTTCAACATAACAAATGTTTTAGTAATCTTCATATAAATCAAGACTCTAATCTAAATTAAAATAAAACATATTTTACAGACATAGCTGCACAGACAAAAACACAAATGCAGCAGAATATTTTAAAGGGCAAAATTTGTCGATAAGACATGGACACATCGAACCAATATAACATGCTGCAAGACATTAAGGGTTACTAAACTTATCATAATACAATTAGGTTTATCGAATCAAAGTTACAGTGTTATAAGTTGGAAAAGCTTACAATACCTTAACACAATATAACTAAAACAATGAAAACAATTAATACAGAGGTTTACTACAATTTTACGTTAGCGAATATAGAAGATTGATCAGTTGCAGCTATAGATCTCAATAAGTGTATCACTTTCCGATTGTTGAAAAGGAGCAACGTTGGAATAAAGCAACGAAACGCTAAACTTCCAACAACTTCCACGTTCAGATTTGAGAATGTCTTACAATAAATAATAAACAAATAATTGAGTAAATTTATTTTCGCTGTATAATTTTGTGAAATTAAAGTTACAAATGTTTGATCTTTTGAATATTTAAAACTTGTTCAGTTTTGAGTGATTGCAATGTATACACCTGTAAATTCTAAAGATGGCAGGGTAACTTTTGTTACTGGGGTCATATTTATGTCAAACTATTTCAGTTTTGGATGATTACAATGCACATAACTATTACTCTTAAGTTCAGAGGGTAACTAATATAAACATAAGAACCACAGACAACAGATCCAACACACAACAGGTTTACCGCTGAAACATTAAGGTACTACATCGTTCTCTGAAAAATAATCTGCAATAGAAATGGTTACGAAACAGTCAGAAGAGATATAGATCAAATGTATTCAGAAAAACAGATGTAGAAAAGAATCGCGTAGAAAGCATGAAACGAACTAAAGGTGATTATAATACAATTATATATGGTCTTCTTTATCTTTTTCATACACCCGTGTATAAATTAAACATTTATCATTTCAAACTGGCAGTAAATGCGTTTCATTCAATCAATCTTTTTTTTTTTTTTTAAATTTTCGAATCATTTGGCTCATGTAAAGTTTATACTATAATCACATTGGGTAATAACATCCATGCCGACGTCATAACAAAAACTAGCAACTTGTTTTTGTGAACAAAGACATATGTCTCCCCTGATTAGCAAACAGACAGACTTCGTTATAAAAAATAACAAAAGGCCACATCTCTTTATATAGTTGGGGACGATACCCGAATTTAGAATGCGAAACTCCAACTTCCCAAGATACATTAAAACTTTAGCAAGTTTGGTCAACGTAAGTGAAATAACATGGAACTGACTTCGGTATTAAAAATAAACAAACGGCAATAACTATGTATATAGTGGGGCACGAGACCTAGTTCCAGTGCACTGCAAACCTTCTGTGGGTGATGCAGGTATACTTCAAGATTGATTAAGATATCTTTAACGGTTTAAAATTTACGGGCTGGACTAGCATTAACTGAAAATGTTGCACTTATTTGACCTTTGACCTTGAGGTGAAGGTCACATTGACCTAATTCTAGTGCATTGCAGCTTCTGTGGGTGATGCATGCATACCTCAAGATATCTTTAATGGTTTAAAAGTTATGGCCCAGACAAGTTGCGATTAGAAGAACCAGAAGAACAAGAAGAAGAATACGAAGAAGAACCAGTACTAATACAATGTCTCCCTTCATTCGAAGGGGAGACATAATGAGATGACGTCATTATTTACGATACAATAAAAGGTTAGAACGTGCAAGAATGTTTCTTTTGCTGCATTATTGTATGATTAATTGTGCTTTTGTAATTCAGTAAATCACATCATAAAATGTAAATATTTGAAATTCTTCTACTACATGTACTATATAGTTTGCCTAAAATATGCTGCTTTTGATTTTAGTGCTTTCGTTTTGTTTGTGTGTATGCAGTTCATGCGGAATTATGTATAATTAAAAAAGAGGAAGTCAGGCAATAATTGTCATATAGTTACATCTGTGTCTACAGACAGAATACACACGTGAAAGTTATAAAGGTGTCATTTAAAACGTGTTTGCATAGTCTACATAATAGAATATTCAGGCATAAAGAAACAACAATCTTTGGTAAAGCAGGTGGTTCGCACCAGTGACGTAGAGTTAAAGCAGATGAAAGCATTAAGATGATATATGAAAGCTTTTCAGTTGTAACATATGCATTGCATTCCTGATGAGGAATTGATATCGACCACGCCCACTTACTCGTTGTGAGACATTTCTCCTGAGCCAGTATCCACCATAGTGTTGTTGCTCTTCATGTAGATGTGATGAAGACAGCGGATGAAGGGTTTCTTACAAGTGCTGTCCACCTTTGGGTTGTTGAGCACCCACAGGAGATCGTCCATAGGCAGGATAGTCTGGCATAATGACTCGATAAACATGTTCTCACCCTGAACAAAATATAGCGTTTACAATCATTAAACAGTTCTTTTTCTAGGCATTATATGGGAGCTTACTTAATTTAATATTTAATGTTTTCCACCATTGAATTCGGCGATCAATTTTATTGTTTGCGTCCATCCCCGTATCTGAAAACAGCAAGCACATTTCAAAGCCAGCGAGTTACGAATACAGCTTACAGAAGTGATATGATTCGGGTCCTTTTATGGAACCAGCAGTATCAACCCGAAACACATTTTCTGGCCAAAAAATGTAGGATGTTATTATTCAAACTAACTTACGAGGACTATGAACGAATCACAAAACAGCTGCTTCTGCAATTACACCATTGTTCTTGCGCAGATAAGGAGCATCTTCAAATAAAGTGTTTATTATTTGGCAGAGTTCGGTTATTATCAGTCCACAATAGTCAAATTTGCCTCAAGGAACTATCAGCCAATCAAGATTTAGCTACATGTCATAGTATCTTCAATACAGTAAATCAATGTGGAAATGTGTAATTAGAAATTTTAACACAAACAATGTATAAGTAAACATGTAGTTTCAAGACCGATTGATCTCTTAGTAATAGCTTACCAGTCGGTCTTGAAACGTTGCGACACGTTTAAAACGTACAATGTATGTGGACAAATTAAAAGTTGATATAATTTTGCATCATTAAGTATGCACCGTTATTCTTTTTTTCGTAAGCTTAAAACAAACATCATGTAAAAAGTTTGACGATCGGCCACGTAATCTACAAGATAGCCTGCAGAAACAAATGTGGGCCAGACGGAGACCACACATATTGCCCTCTAGTAATATTCATGGAGGTTGAAACAAGTTCTCGAACAATACAGTCACGTGCTATTTTAAACAAGGCAAAGTAAGTATTATGACCAGTCTTTACTCCCTCATCTAAGTAAACTTCGATATTAAATACATACAAAGGGAAATAACATTTATATATTGGAGAATAAAATGTCATTTTAGTGCATGCCACTCCGCCATCCCAACAGGTACAGTCCCAACATAAAACGAAAGGGCAATAACTGTTTTTTTATCGAAAGGAAGAAGACCTGATTGTTGTACGCGACATTCCGACATCACATGGGGTTCTCACATACAATATTTGTCAACTATAGAGTATATGCTCCGGACAACAAAGAGGACACATGGACTGACAGAATTGCAGACGGATGGACGAATGGAAATATTTCGGACCTGTAGTCCCCTTCCTTAGTTCCAATGGGAGACTGATTCAGTTCCTATTAGGTGATATTTAACGTACATACCTCAGCACAGATAGCGAGCAGGTCGAGCAGACACAGGTAGTAACGCAGTGTACAAATCCTGTTGGGACTCGTCAGGATCCTCTCCCTGCCAGTCAAATCAATAACATATACAACAATAATACGTAGTATGGCTCTAACTCTTTATAACCTTATTTGGTAGTGATTAAGACCTACTAATTATTAGTGCGTATAACTGAGCTGATATGTTATTCTGCATTACAACTTTAATAGTCCCCTCAGGTATTTAAAACAATGAGCAATCGACAAATACCTAGATACGAACAGTTTGATAGATTGTGAAAGTGCTACTACATACTGCATAGTGATTGATATCACTTAAGTTCCTCCCTGACCAATTTAAAGTAGTGTTGCCGTCACTTTATATATCCGCGATACCAAACGACAATCACGACTCGCTTAGATGGGTGATAACCACAGATTTCTATCTAATTAATTTCCTCTGACGAATTTTTGAATGATTTATCATGTCCTCAGAAAGCTATCAATATAATAAAGATGTATTGTAGTAACGGTTCCGCTGGTGTTCTAGTTTGTTAAAATGTCAACTATACGTTTTATGACAAAACGCAACAGAATTTGAATTACAATTCACTTCAAAAATCATATGTTATATTCTGATCTTAATTTGTTTGATTTTCGTTTAATTAAAGTTTTTCTTGTGCCGTTATGTACGGTTATAGTGTGATATCGACCCTCTGAAACTCAGCTGTTTGTTCGGATCTTAACTTGTACGAATGTGCGCTTGTCGTGGCTTGCTTCTTTTGCACATAAGTTAATACAGACACTATTGTCGTTTTAGTTGTAAGTGAACCAGGCTCCCTGTAGTATTTACTTACCGTTCCTCCCTGCCAAGGTCGAGGACGTAAGCGACCTTTTTGTAGTTCTGCATTATGTACTTCATGACGTAGGCCTGGTTACGTTTGAGTGTTAGATCTGTCCCTACAACCTTCACTATCATCCCAAGCAGGTCTAAGAACTCGGGCGCGCGCTCCTGAAGCTCCGCAGCACGTGACACAATCTTCTGGATTTGTCGTGGACTTATCTTCAGACAGGTATTCTGGTTACCCATAAATACCTGAAACAACACGTTTAAGTATCATTAGCAACATATATATATATAGAAAATAGACCACACATGTTCGTATACGTTGAGGTCGGGAGGTGTAGCCACTTTGTAAAACTACGGTGAACATATCATAGGTATCTCAACATATGTGAGCTTTTCTAAAATATACTGTACAACATATTCTGTTTTATGAATTAAAGCACACTGATATTATACCAATTCAACTAATTCATCAAAAAGAATGGACATGGACAGTCATAGCTTGAAAAATGGACCAATCGGTCTTAAAACGTTGCGACATGTTTAGTATGTACATTCTTTGTGTAAAAAGTAAAACTTTGATATTACATACCCATGTGTTTTAAGTAAAAGAAAGGAAGAATCATATATTTATAAGCACCGCGATGTTACAGACACATTTTTGTGGTCATTTATTAACTAGAAATCAGTTATATCAGCACCAAATAATGCCAAAACGTGTACAATAGAAGCTAGGTTTAACAATTTACCATGTTATTTGTGATACCTTGGGAAAATAAGTGATATTTTAACCATAGGGAAAATAAACAACAATAACGTAAGTGCGATAAAATCAAAAAGTTAAATTTTGCCAGTGCTACAAGTACCTCTTTCAGAGCTATAGCGAGATCCGACTCCACCACTCGCACATCCAGCAGCACATCTAGACGGTCAAATAGGTGAAACTGGACACGGTCATTCTCTCGCGCAAGTAGCTTCACAAGATGGAACGTTTTCTTGAACACATCCTTCATTCCTCGATACAATTCCTAGAAAATGTAAGATTGCTTAATGATTACAGATAATAGGTAACCGTGCCTCTACGAGACGTGGCATTGAAGCTGTAGACGAAATAACATCATCATCAATATAGATACTTCATATTATCATAACATTAAGACAATTAATCACTTAAATGATTAATCATCTGACGTAGATGAAGTTTGTATTTCGTTTTTATGGAAACAACGGATTAAAATAATAATTGGTTGCACTAAACATTACTAGTTAAAGGACAATTCCCTTGCTTCTGTAATGAATTTACGTGTTAACCAAGGCTAAGATTAAACACGTTTGGCTAAATTACCATTAGTTTGGTGTCTATGTCCTGGGTTAGAATGTCAAACAGTATGGTCAGGATTCCTGCAATCAGATAAACCATACGTGTAACATACCCCTGTATGTATAGCATGAGCGTGTTTTAGGAGAGATATGCATGATTACAAAACGATATTCTTATTAACTTTAGGATAATGTCTTATTTTTAATATTTGTTTGAAGTGTTTTATTCTTTCTAACAAAACAAAACGCCACTGACTCCAAAACAAAATTATACGTATGTTGAACTCAAAACGAATCATTTTCTTTCATTTGAAATGCATACCAGGAAGGAAGATATAATAGTAGAGGTCTAAAATACCGAATATCAGCAGGAAGGTAATTTTGGTAATTTATACAGTGACAATATTGGGTTTACTATTGACGGTAGCTTACTGTTTTCCAGGAAAATTTCGATGCAGTTTAATTTTCGCCTTTTTCGTCCTCCGTAGCAAGAGCGAGTTTGTCATTACAATGAATATAAATAAACAACATAGGATACATATTAATTAAATGTGAAGGGCGAAATTCTTATTGGGAGAGAATGTATTTTACCCGAGAAGGGCGAAAGTTTGACTGGGCGAAAATTCCCCGGTATACATTATGACTTCTCGCCGCCAAATTACCGTTACTAATTAAGATGTTTTGATTCATTGGATGTGGTTCATCTGGCGTCATGGGAAGGTGACAGAATCTGAAATCAACAAGATTAAAATGCCACAGGACGTGCATTTACAAACAGAATGATATCAAACAGTATGTAACCGTGTCTTGAGCAGACATTTCAATACGGAAAAGAATCTAGTACGGCGCTACAAAAGATTCGCGCGCTAAGAACAAGGAGTGAAGTGATGTCAAACATTATGCAACTACATAGAAAATAGAATTAAGTACTCAGCTATGAAATAATTTTGAGACCTACATGATCCCGATACTTTTATCAGATAGTCTTTCGTTTGACAACGTACTCTCCGAGGTCATCCAATATCGTTTCCATCAGTTTTTTCTGTTGTTCGTCAAGCTTTGCCTTTGCCAGCCGCCTCAGGATCGGCATACTCTTCAGCACTTCCCGATGGACTCTCGCCGAATCTTGAGTCAGTAAGATCTAGGAAGGAAGGTTTATAAATTAACATTCTTCACAACCAGGTAATAAATGTCGATCAAGTTACTAAAGAAGAGGTCATGCCATGTTAAGTTTAAACTAGATACGAGATATTGATTTTAATTACACTTAAATTGAATGCGCGTTAATATAAATTAAATCCCTTTCTTAAATCAACATGAAAATACATCGTACCCTAAACAACTCACAACTTATCTAATCACAGAAGTTTGCTACATAGTACAAACTTAAAGAAGCGGTCAACATGTACCTGAGCTTTCTTGGACAGCCGGAACACGTTGTCCTTGGATGAGTACACTTTGTTGAGAATACTGAGGGATTTTGTTATCATCTTGTTGTATTTGTACCTTGATAAATCCTGGGGGGAAAAAGAGAGAAATTCGAGCGTTAACTCTGTATTCGGCTGAGAAAGCAGAATTATTCGTTATGTGAAAATAACAATACAAACAAATAATACGTCGCCAATAAAAATATGTTTCTATATTTTACCAAAGCGGGAACCTTGTGCCCATTTATTGATAAAATAATGGTTCTTTTTATTATCAGACTAAGCGTTGTTCATTTTGATAGTGTAGCATTTTTCTGCTTTCTTACACGTTCGTCCTTTCCCATTTTAATGACATAACTTATCAAAGCTGGTTGCACTCAAGTATGTGCAGTTTTTCACTACAAAAACCGTGATCATACTAGATTGCCAGCATACTTTATACCGAGAAATGTTCGCCCAGTCAAACTTTCGCCCTTCGCCAGAATGATCCATATTCTCCCAGTGTTAATTTCGCCTTCAAATTTAATTAAAATGCATATTATGTTGTTTACTTATGTTTCCTGTAATTATAATTCGCCCTCATCATGGCAGGCGAAAAAGTCGGAAATTAAACTGCAGCGAAATACCCGGTATAAAACATTTACTTACTGTTAATACACGTGTGAGAGTTTCCACGTCAAATATGGCCGCTTTGGTGAACATTTCTCGCAGGTCCTTTATTATCCTTTTCTGTAATTTGAGTGCTTTTCTATAAAACAAAACAAGAAAGATTGGTGCAAACCAGTCAGATGATAGAAAACGATTCGTCACAGATTATACAAGAATTAAGCTGACATTGTTGCATAAGCTGTTCCTGGGCTGTTTCAAGTATCAGTATTATCTGTAAAGATGTGTCCTGTTGACCAATATATCACTAAGCCAGAGTTTTTGAACGGTAATGCTTCAATCTACGTTGAAATCATTTTTTGCATTCGTCACCATTGCCAGCTGTACTGTTAAAAGACTTGTGTGACGGGCCTTTGAACGTTGGAGATAAACATAAATAATTGCATGTGTTTTGACGGAACACATTAATAGGGGCAATGTATGATGCATGACACGCCTAGATTCTAAACAAAACACATTATTTCAGAATTGTTTTCCCGGTTTTTTTGTGTGTGTTTCCTCACAATCCCATTAGATTTGATTTCATTTGGAATTTTTTTCACTTAAATATGGAAGAGTTTGTATTTGAGTATAGACGTTCCGTTATAGTTATGTTTTCCTTTTCATAAAAGTTATGGTATAGCCGTGATCAAATCCCATATACGTTATTAGAGGTCATAAATAATGTATGATTCATAGTTTAACTTACTTGCTCTGGTCGTGCGGATCAAAATCATCAAACAGCATGGATACCAACACATTTTGTGACTTCTTAAGTCCACAGCACTTCTCCGCTGTTTTGAATTTTGACACAAAACTCTACAAAAACACGATATTTTATGTAATTTTATTTTCATGAAACATTAACCTAATTATCTGTTTTTAACTAAATCGTGCGGAGTATTACTGTTTAATGTCCCTAACGTTGGTTTTAAATGATGACAGCGTACGTGTCTTATTAAACCTATGTTCTTCATCCGACTGTAACGATATCTCAAAACATGATTTACCTGTATTTCCAGGTATGGTTGGTAAACTGTACATTTTCTACAAAATGCGACTATGAATTAAGATGCAAGTTTCTAAATAAGGACAGTTTCTTGTCATTTATATAACACAACTTACCTGGAGTCTTGAATTTCTTTGGTAGAGAAGTAGAAGATCTAGTACCTCTAATACCCTAAAACAATGTTAATATAACACTCTCATACAATGCAACTGGGGTAATATTCGGAGTTTGGATAAACAATGTTGTTCAAATCTGATAGAAAATATATTCAGTCATTGTGTCGTAAATAGGTTATGATTGTCACGTTAATACCGTCCGTTTGTACATGTGTCAGTCCATTAGCATATGTGTCAACACATTAGTTCTCAACGCCATGAGTATATGTATGCTTCTTACAAAAACAGCATTAATAGTACTTACATCAAAAGTCCTTATTATCTGAAGACTTCTTTTCCAATTGCTATAAATATTGGGAAAATGATCGTTCACTTACTGAAATTTCGCATTGACTATAGCTTCTGTCTGTGGATTTGGCAAAAGCCGCTCTACCGTTTGAAACTGGTGGACTAGTTTCATAGCATCCTTAGAGAACCCTGCAAATCAAACGATACCTTCAAACTACGTATCTCCTACAAAATGTGTAATACCATGCAAAGACATTCCAGAGCCCTACAAATTACAAAAAAACTGCAAAATAACTACGTGCCACTTAGAAAATATGTTATACCACGCGAAGTCGTTCTTAAAGAAACCTGCATTAAGACACCGAGTCATCCTTAGAGAACCCTGCAATATCACGTCACTTAGGGAAAAGAATATGATTTACCTATTAAGCTTTTGTACTTACCTGTGTTATGAGACAAATTTTCAACTGTCAATTGACAAATTATACGCGTAGGTTAGTTACCCTTTTCCCTGTCTTTCTTGAATGGGAAGTCGTGTCGTCCGTCCAGTAGGTTTAACATGGGAGGTAAAAGTTGTTCCACATCCTCTGCGTCTAGGTAATACCCGAACTTCACTAGGTGGTACAGCAGTCGTAACACCTTCAAAAGGAAACTTACACTTCAAACACACAAAGCCACTTTAAACGTGTCTTTATAAAACATAATTGAAATTTTGCCTATTGTTAACTTTAAAAAAAATCATTACTGACTGGTGACGAATTTTAAGTGTTCTTTTGTAAGTTTTTCCGTTGTTCACATTTCCCCTTGTTCTGTCGCTTTTGAGCTCGAGTAATGATTTTGTTGGCATTATGGAATTCTCTTGTTGTTTTTTTGTTGAATAGAAATAAATGATCAAATATATTCATAATTGCTTTAAGCATAATTACAATAACCATTGAATATGAAACGTCTTTGTCTTTAAAATGAAATTAAAAGGAATGACCAAGACTTTGTTAAAGCTATGCCGTTTATACATCAGCGCCATACAGAGGTTAGAGCTTTTAATGTCAGTGAGAAACATATTTCAATACACCACAATCAAATAATTCTAATATTATTCTAACTTGTTGTTTTTGAATAATTAATTCCAATTCGGTGTATGGTGGTCGGTAATTCTATTTAGTTGTAATTCATTTTGACTTTGATACACGATATACAAACCTGTTCAATAAGCATGTTATGTCCAATATCATCAGCAAACATGCATTTGTTTTCCTGTAGAAATTCCGCAATCCAGTCCCTTAGAACAGGAAAAATAGCTACCAATTCTTTGACCACCTGTTTAATTAGATTAGCAAACAACTTTAATATGATAGTTTTCACATATCATCCTATATTTTAACAGGTATTCGTTCCTTTCTTTTTCCTAATAAACGCTGGACTTATAAGGTTTCCAAATTCTGCCGTGAGTGATCAATACAATTTTCCAAAACAGTGAAAGAATTACAGAGAAGTCCAAACCAGGGACGTGATATTTTCGATTGTCGTGCCCGAGTCTTGACTTAAGCCGTTGGTAAGTTTGTAAAGCATTTTATCCAGAGGATTGATGTCATCTGGCATACCTCAATGTGACAATCAACATTTGTAATTTGTTTTTATCCTGATTTGAGCATTATCCCTCCTGTGGAAAGCTTAATGAGATGTTATATCGTTCATAATCGTATTGATTCTTTCTACGCTGTACCTGTCATACCCTAGGTGGTGACAGAAAATAACCTTTATTAGGTCAAACGGGAGACAAACCTGTGAATGGTGGAGAAATTATCTGTCAACCCAAATGGTTCAAAAAGCAAGATGCGCTCGTGACGTCACATTGAACAATACAATAACGTCACTCATATTTTGAAAAAAAAATGCCATACTATAGCAGGGCATGATGGCCTCGCTACGTCTAGCAAAGTTCTGCCCAATTCCTTATACGTTAATAACAATTGCTTAAATTAAACTAAACGTACGAAGTCTCCTTGGCTCTTTTCTTCATCCTTGGAGCCCACATACTCGTACACAAAGCAGATGTTTGGATGGTCCAGTACAGAGTAATTGTTTCCAACGTCCACAAACAGACCTTGAGATTAAACAATAAGTATTAATCACAGACATCTAATAACAACATAATAGTAGCGATATTAGGAGGAAATAGATAATGATATTGAAAGTCAAAAACAGGAGTACATGCAACTTTGATGCAAATATCGAGTGTCCAGAAATTTATAATACTGATAGTTCAAATTTGGTTTTAAGTATAAAGACTTATAAACTACCTGGTCATTACTCATATAAAAGTGTGTACGCCATTATAAAAAGGGAGCATATGTTATCTGTAAAAGTAAACACAAGCAAGAGTGTGTTGATGTAGAGTTTAAGTTCTTACTTGTGCAGAGATCGCAGTATTTGGCGCGAATGGCGTCGGGGAGGATGTCTGACCTCAGGGATAGAAAAGTCTCTTCCCACGTCAGGTACCGTAACTCCTTGGTGATCATGTTGATGGAGTAATCGTTCCTACCCTGTAACATTTATAGACCAATCATATAGAAATACAACAGCGTTCTGCTAAATATCAAATTATATAAAACGGTTGGTTTTTTTTTGCATAAAATATATTGAAAACTGTAAAATATTCTCCTACATAAATATAAACTTTACTTAAAGAAGCCTATTGATAACATGTATAATTCATATCGATAAGATTGCTCTCCTACAAGTGATTTGAAGGCAGATATTGTGATCATAATTAAATTTTGCTATCAATAATTCAAATGGTTTCGACAATTATACCATTATGGTTATCTCCTGTATATTTATTTCTGATATAAGGGCTGCAATACTTTTCTGTATGAGCCGCAGACTCCTTTGTTAAGGTCCTGATGACAAAAAAGTACTAATACTTAAGTGACATCCGGCCTTGGACATGTCTAGTTGGAGTATGACGTCATATATACATACAGGCAACATAATCATGTGCATAAATATGACGTCACTCTTACAAAACATAGGACCATATGCATATCAAGGTGGTGTATGACGTCATACGTAAATGCATGACAGATGACCTGCACAGGTTCAATTGTTGTATGCCACCATACATACCTTCATACACACGTACATGTAGTGTATGACGTCACACATACTTACGTGACACAGAGCCTTGTAAAGGTCAAGTTGATGTATTAGGAAATCGTGCTTGTCTTTGTCGTAATCTTCAGACTTCGGCTACAATTATATAAGATCATGCTATATATATATAAATATCACATGTATAACTCTAATTACTTATACAAATACATGAAGGCTGAACGCGGATTCGAATAGTATGCAATTAGATCATAAAAGTTGAAAAAGTGTTCAAAGACAAAATGCAATACGTACGTCAACGAATGTGTGTAGCGAGTCCCAAGTTTTGCCGCCGTTGGTTGTGATGTAGAGGATGTTTGGCTGTCTGTTGATGTCTTGTCCTCGACCGGTCAAATATATCCCTCTTCCCTGAAGTTATATAAAACATTAAACACTTTTCACAACTGTGTGACATTGCAACTATATGACCCAACTTAACACATGTAGCATATATATCACCTACGAATGTTATCATCCAATTGTTAAAATGATCCTTATTATGACGTTAAGTGTAACATTGGATACCACTGACTATATGGCTGTTCTATTAATTAAACAAGCACCTACCATACACTCGTATTTGAATGACAATTTCAAAATGAAGAACTAACGCACTTCATTAAAGTTAGTATTTTCATTTGGCAATCACACTGGCTGTGAGTGACAACTGAAATCTGTTTAATTCGTAAATAAAACACTTCATCGTTAGTAAAATAAGTTATATAAAACAGTCAGACAAGGTTAACATCTAAGTCAGGCAAATGACGAATTTCTTACCTGTTCTTCTTGCATCCATCGCTGTACGATGTATGATTGGTTGTTTGGGATAGCTACGTCATCACATACGCACAACACGTGCATCAGGTCCAGAAAACGGTAATTCTGTAGAAAAAGCATTTGAATAATATTAACGGTATACATCTGATTAGAAATACAACAGAACAGCATTTTAAGGTTCAAGTATTTTTGCTTGTAGTTATCAATTCCACTCATGAATTATCATGCGGCAAATACTATCATAAATATCATGTACATGAAACACTAAACAAGAAGTCGACAATTCTCTTGTGTATTTATTTCACCTAGTTTGTACCTGGGTTTTCTGTAGAAGGCCGACGAATTCGTTGATTTGTTCGTGTGTGATTCTGTCCACGATCTTCCTCTTGTCACGTATTAGTTCCACTATCATCTGGGCCACGTTAAGGCCTATACCTCCCTGTAATGTTTGTCATCAGCATGTAGATATTTCATAAATAAATGTACAACTACTGTTTCTAAAATATGTTCACCCTTATAACACCCTGCAAGAGAGGTCAACAGTGTGTAGACATGTGTACGTTAATTCATAATGGGTTTTTTTTGAGACCGCATTCACACAACCAACCTTGCCTCTCCTTCCAATTTTTCGTTATTCCAATTAATTTTTTATCAATATACATGTTCGTAAAGCAAAGTATTCCATTTACAAAGTGTTCTTAACTATATAATAAAGTGTTGCTGATTAACTACCAACGTTGAATATCCCTTGCACATAAGCAGACTTATTATCATCGGTATAATCATACTCAATATTCGCATATACAAACCCTTGGAGCATTGTATAAAGCAATATACCTTTTGTGTGAACTGTGTTTGGAAGAACTCGATATATTTGGCGAAATAGAGTGCGTTTTTCCTGCTCTTGCCAATCATGTAAGTATAGAGGATCTCGTAGGCCTCTTTGAACACTTGGATCATGTTCTGCTCGTCAGCTGTGCCGTCCAAAGGACACTTTAAGATCTTCACCAGCAGGTCAATAACCTACAACACGCATGTCAACATAAATCGTAGGTTATCATTCCATGTTTATATAACAAAGATGTTAAAATATATCAATAAAATCATATTTTGATTGTTGTGATTTACAAGACAATGTCATGATCTAAACAGCACAATTTTTTATCTCTATTTATTTTTGTCCTGCCAAAAGAGGGAGAATTTAACACAGGAGAAGCCATAACATATCATGAGTTAACAGTGATAGGCACTCAGTATTTAAACTGTGTATACATCTATATGATAAAAATCTTCCGTAAGCTAGAACATGGAAATAATATGTTTTATAGCCATTATTTTAAATTAAACGATCCAAATGAATATCTAATTACTCACTATAAAAGTGATAAATGCAAAGTTATAGAATATCATATATTAGATTATCAAAGCATATTATATCACAAGATCATCTATCCGTGTACCAGTATAAAAAAAACCAAGACAATCACAAATACTTAGCTGCTCCGTACTTACACGCAGATTTCTCATTAACTTTTGTCTGTTTTTACTTGGGAGTGTTTTTACAATCATGAATTTCCGTATCCCCTCCATTGCCTGTGAACAAAAAACAATTCCAATCTGATCTAATAGTCGTCTTACTAATATATCAGCCGTACAAATCTACAGATGTTTCTTCATACATATTTCTTTTGAACTTCTCTAACTTTCATTTTTGATCTAAAAATAACGATTTTCTAAGTTAATGGCCGGTATTTATCCTTGATGATGTCAAGCTAGAACAGACAGGTTTCATAGAAGCCAAACATTATGCAACATTTAGTCACATCCATCACTGTTGCAGTGACGTGAGCAGACAGGTATTTCACCATCCTATCCAAGACTACTGTTCAAACTGTATAATGTAGGCTACAGATCGTCGTTATTTATTCACACTCACTGTTGAAATTCATATAATAATGGAGCGGATATTTTCGTATACTTATTTCGTCTTTGCGTATTACAGAGTTATCTGCTCTTGTCAACAGGTATTGATTGTTACGTCATTGGTTTGTGTGAGAAAATTACGTCGTTTTTCAAAAATTGATGACGTTACTCTCACAAACCAATGACGTAACAAGCGTTAACGAAAAGACGGAATAGTGGCTTATATTACAGTGTGGGAGCGTATTTTTCAATCTTCGTCGCATACTTACTGTTAGTACAACATGAGTCCTTTTGGCATTAAGGAAATGTCTATCTTCTCTCTAGAAATTTGGAAAAAAATAGGTCATTAAATCAGAGTCATTCAAAAATGTGTGATACTGATTGTAAAATTCTCATATACAAGAAAGTTTGAAGTTAGATCAATAGATATTTGAATAATCCGCGCTTTTTCTTGGTGTCGGTATTTTTTATTTGTTGTGTCGGAAGAAGAGCTTAAGAACCTCATAGAAACTGTACCTATATATACAGTATTTAATATGGAACTGGACAAAGGAATGCTTAAGGAAACGACTAGAGGTAAAGTAGTTATTTTGGTTTTGTGTGAGGACTTTATAATTTCTATTTTTTAAATGTATCAATTACAGTATGGGTGTGGTTCCCGTGTCATCCTGATGAATTTACCAGACAGACAAGCATAGGATTTGGCTTATGATCTGGTTTGTTAGTGTCATGTGGTATAAAGTAGACGAAGTTAGATTGTCTGCAGTTTGCCGTACTCACGTCTTTGATAAGGTTGAGGAGGAATGGTACCATCCCACTAATGTAGTTAAACTCATCCTGATGGACCTGCTCCACAAACTGAATGGTGAAGGCGTCGTCATATTGACTCTCACCGCTCGCCGCCACCTGTACGGATGACGACACAAATACACTGTCAATGACGTCATAATACATATGTATACAATCAGTGACGTCATATTCATCTTACGACACGACAAATGAACATAATATTTCGGAACACAGTATTGATTAGGACGGGAGGTGGCAAAGAACAACATGTTATCTTATCACTTAAAATGAAAACAAACTTCTTTAGCTAGTATGTAACGATACTGTACAGTTTCAATTCATTTTATTATAATTTATATAAATATCTATTTATCGTCTCAAGTCAATTACTTAATAGTACAGCACAAACAACTGTGCAAACTAGATCAGTTTCTGATGAAGATCTAGAATATCCGGAATAAATTTGAATATCGTTCTGGAATATGTCATATTTTATCTTTCCTGCTTTTTTAAATGTCAATAATTCGTTTACTACAGTTATTTATATATAGGCATTAAAACATGAATATGAGATACAGTAGAATCAATAACAGCGTTCGTAGTTCCACGTGATTTACACGCCCAGACAAATTGTAGTCTGAACAAGTAGCTGAGTTATTAGGTCCCATAGCAGCGTGTCGCCATGTTTATTTGACGTAACTCCCCCGCGATGTGCCGCCGTAAACATCAGATTTATCGCCCATACTTTATAATGAATTTGTCAATATCATGATTAATCTTTGCTGTAACAATATAACATTAATCATTCCGTTCGCTCAGCAACGACTAATTTGTGTGCTGTGATTGTCTCGCAACTGGTAAGTTTCCCGTTCATCTATAAAAAAAAACACAATAACAATTCGATATCTGTAATGTCTGGTTAATATTCCAGTTTTACTACGGAAAATGTCTGGTTTTCTCTTAATTGTTTTTGCATGGTTAAAATGCAAATATATATTTTGTTTATTTTTTTAACCACTCAGCACATGTGTAGCGTTTCTTGTGACTTCATCTATTTTATTCCATAGTGAGGTACAAGTATATCGGCAAGAACTTTTGTTAAATGCAGTTCTGCATTTGGGGATATGTAATTTATTTGTAGTAAAGGAATGGGTTGCCCTGGTTAGAATCTGGCTAACGTAAGCTAATACATTTTCTTTTTAAAATCCTGGAGCCGCATCGTTGAGGATTCTTTAGGTTAATACACATATTTTAAAAGTAAAAAATCAATAATAGGCATCCAGTTCAGGCTCTTTAAAAGTGGGGATGTTGGTGTAAGAATATCTTTAACTTTGAAAAATCACTCTCGTAGCTCTTTTTTGAATTTGAAAACGTCTTTACTGTTGGTGACACACTTGTAGGGTTACTCCATACAGAAGAACATTACATAAAATGTGTTAAACAATAGTTTTATACACTTTCTTTGACATTGCTTGGGACATGAATACAAATAATTGAAATCAAAGTGAGTCTGTCCATGATCGCACCTCTCTGACTTGAGCAGAGTCCCACCGCAGTCCCCGTAAACTCTGGTCTTCACTGCTGTCCATGTTCCGGAACTTTTTACGAATATAGTCTTCATCTGGAAGTGCACAACATCATTAGTAGTTGGCAGGAATGCCATCACTAGATTGACACCGACATGCGGTCAACAAGCTAAGAATTGAAGGACCATCATGTGGTCATTTACAACAGGAAGTCTAAGATGTGGTCAACACAACAAAAAGACAAACATGGGGTCAATACAACAACATGACAAACATGGGGTCAGATCATAAGTTGATGATAGTGTTTAATGAGGATGATGACACCGACAATATGTCGCTAACGATGAGGATGACAATGGTGTGATGACGATGATGTAAGAGGAGGAGGGTGTATGATGATATTCATATATTATGGATGATGATGATGATGATGATGATGATGATGATTGATGATGATGATGATGATGATGATGATGATGATGATGATGATGATGAAATCAGATGAAGGATGATGACCTTGTTATTTTAAACGTGTAAATGTGAGAGAATGTGATAAATATGTAAAATACATTTGTGAAAAGAAAAAAACAATAAAAAAAACCAATAAAAAAACAATAAAAAATAAAACATGGGGTCAACACAACAAGAGGACGAACATGTAGACAACAAACCAGGAGTAACAAACAAGCATGTGGACAACTGAATAAGGGAACCAACATGTCAACACACCAGGATAACCAATATGCTACCAACGAACATGAGAATCTCGGTATTTCATCACATCAGGATAACTTACTTCTTATTCACTTACACCATCGTTATTTACGTGTAGAAGCATGCAAACTAATCAGCACAAGACAGAAGGCAATAAAAACGTACAACGAGTAGTACAATTTAACGCTAACAGTTACAATACTCGTGATGGAAATCTGAAGGCGGACATTATTCAAGGAGATGTAGGATGAACATTCAACAGTTTATCAGCTTATTTTATTCAGAGGAAGACGAACATCAGTTAAAAGTATTTGTACTACGGATATTTACCTTTTAGTGCGTGAAGCCAAAATCCGGTCAAAACATGTTCAATACGGCAATAACTCTCGAACCTGATCTCATCTCTCTCCTGTATGAAAGGAATTATTATATAGTTTATATCACAAAAACAATATATTAACGGTAACTGATAGGAATGTCAGCAAAACATTCCGATATGATTTGAATTTTAATGCTAAAAAACGTCCCTTGACCATATTTACGACATATCATAAACATAAGGTCACCTTCAATGCGTGTTTAAGGTCGAGAGGTATGTGTTGTCATCTCGTGACTTCTCGCCTATTCTCGTACATCACTAGTCGTATCTCGGGCTGTGTCGTCCTTGACGTGCAAGGTATATTTATGAAACAATATTAAATTCTCAAACAGATTCGGGCGCAAATTTGCTTCTGATTTTCGTAATTCTCGTTCAGAAAATGGAATTAATAAGTGGAAATTTGGATATATGGAACTAGATTAAATCAACAGAACTGTGCTATCGCAGATTGATGAATGTTTATGATGAAGTATATTTTGAGACCTTACGGAAGGGTCAGTTATGGAATCATCTCAGATATAAATGAAAAAATTCCATTCTAATCGATGGCGCCCCTGTAGAGTTTCGTCTGTACAGTATAGACGGCGTGTGTGACGTACTACGATTCAATGCTGATACATCACAGACGTCTATTGGATTATATCGCCATGTTTTGACTGAGCGAAAATTCCAAAAATATACAAATATGTCGATGGGTACGCTATCATTACTATATCTAACATACCCAGAACCAATTTATCAGTTTTGGGCCATGTTTCCGATACAATTGTATATAGACATATAACAAAATGTGTATTACTAACAGACAACCCATGATATAGGTTGAATTCAAACGAACTGTTTAATAAAAAGATTATTTTGACCTATTTTACAAAATTGTGTGTTCTGTTATATAAAACAAAGATATTATACATATTATTGACACTTGAATTCCATGCGATGCCATTGCTAGTCTGTGTATACCCTCTTAAACAATCAGAGGCCAGGGGAGACCATGAGAAGCTAACCATTTTATTGATGTGGTTAAACTAACAAATATAACCAACAAAAAAGGCTCCGTTCATTGCGAATGAGCACCTTGTAGATGGTATCGATTACTTCGCCATAAAGTCCCATTTAAACAAAGGCATGTGAACTTTGGAATGCAGTAACACAATAAAGGGGATAATTGAGGAAACGCACACTACTTAACGGACGTTTATTTTCTACTGATAAGCGAAGTTAGATTCTATCTTAAAAACTTATCTTGCCACATGACACATTACAGATACCAGTCCACTTACACTAATGACTGAGTAAAGGCGGAAAACTGTCCGAGGATCCTCACTCTCGTCAGTCAACGAGATTTCCTTTGTAGCATCAATGCACAGGTACTTTCGGGTTGTCATGTGACGCAGTCGGACCTGCTGTTCCCACCGCAGAATGTCGCCTAGGTGTCAAAGAAAATACAAAAAAAAAATACAACAGATTTCACACACGAGGACACAGCGAAAAGCAAACACCGCGGAGATGGGCCTAGGGCTGTAGAATCTCTTTGTACGAAACGTAACAAATACAGGTCATCAATGTTACACTCAGTGAAATAATGTCTAGATATAAAATTAGCAGACACTGATATACCACGGGTGTATAAACTGAAGACAGTTTTTAACACAACTTTAACAGCAAAACATTACCACATCGTTCAGAATCCCTATACAGGATTTTGTGATTTCTGCAATATATAAAAGACCTCTAAGTGGCAACTAGTCCATAATCCCTAGAAATACTAAGTCAGGAAACACACAAATAATATGTAGTAAGTCCATTTTACTGTGCTGCCGTTTGCCAAATTCATCCATTCAGGATTCATCAATGGGACTTGAGGTGTAATGTTTGAAAATTCATGATGAGATAATCCGAAATATAGAACAATTGCTACCGTTGTCTATTCGTTTAACTAATCCTGGCTACATCTTTATACTGTCCATCTAACACACGTTTCGTTAAAAAAAATCCGTTTTAGTCATGTATATAAAGTCTGTGTCGAAGAATGTTAAAACTTGATATAATTGCATCTTTCAGCAGTTTCTAAACAGTTGAGAGAACTCTTAGAAAATATTGATATTTTGTTAGTGTTATAGGGTGTCGTTTCCTTCCCATGTGATATATAGTGTGATCTAGTTAAAACGATAACTCTCGAAACCACGATTAATTCCGAACAAAAGGAATGACGTGTAGAGATTACATAAAACCTGGGCTTAAATATATATAGCACCTCTCATCTTCTGAGACCAAAGACATTTTGAGAACATTTTGGAATAAGATGTTACAGATGATACATCAAAACAGAAACTCAACGTTACGTTACCAAAAGCACGAAGCATTGTTTATACGGAAATGGCTTGTTACAGACAGCTATACTAGTATCTAGACGGCCTTGGTCACGATGTTAAGCAAAAATATTGAATCCATTTAGTCGTTAAACACAGTTCCTCCATATGTTTTTCGATTTGCATGCATCTTCTTCCCTACAGACTGAGAGTAAACTGATTTAGATTAAAGTTGAGAACTGAAATTTCATCCTCCATTATATATATTGTTTTTGTCCCGTAAAAACTGTATGCAAGGTCGCAATGTTGAAGGAGTCGGTATGTCAGCCATGAATCTTCCAAAATGATAAATCAACGCCCTAAAATATACGTTTGATGTACATCATATATGTAAAACCGTTATATAGTATAAGAAAGTTATATGTCATCAAAGGAAATGATCCCATCTATATAAATATCCGTTTACAATATCGGTACCAAAATAGGAACGTTTCTTGTTCGAAGGCCTTGGAATCTTTAAAATAGAGTAGGAGTCCAGTTATAAACTCTTTGATCCCTGAAACAGAGTCGATGGTGACAGGGAAAGTAAGGCATGCAATAGCACTGTAAACAAAATATCCTCCTAACAGTGATAGATAGAGAGTCTTGTTCTTTAAGGATCGGGGAATCGCCACGTCATTTCCGGTTTGTGTAGACTTGTTCGTTCTCCTTATCACTATGGTTATCTCTTTATGTGTTTGCTATAGCGGTAAACAGTTTACAAATTTATTGAATTGGATCTATACTACCACAACACAAACTGAGAAAATACGACTAACAATGAATATACAGCTTTACCTCTGTAATATTTTACTGACTTTCATCAATTTATATTGATTAACGGTTTCCACCATATATTTGCTATTCCAACACTTTGTCAAAATTGGTAGTGATATTTTTTTTCATAAAATTCTATCGTTGATCTAACATTCTCAAACTTTGGGCCTACCGTTGAGGATGCCACTTTCCGCCTCTATCTGCCAAAACGTGTTCCCGGAGGTTGGCGGTGACAGGGTACGAGGTTTGTGCTGGTCCATTACTCGGATCCGGAAGTGAACTGAACAAAAGAAGATATTCAATATCATTTCAGTAACTATGAAATCTCTTTTATATTGTTTACTTATGTAACAAAATTTGAATGAATAATATGGGAAGGACATTTATAATGACAGTATGTAGGGAGCTCATGTTAAAATAAAAAGATTTTATATAAAAAAACATACATTTCTGACTCATTTCCTAAATTTTGAACCCTAAAATGTGTCGACCTACCGTCCTCCGTAACCTCCTCGTCAAACAGACCCTCCGCCACGAGGTAGGCCTCTAACTCCTTGTGGAACAACCTGATCGCTGATCCTCCCTACATCACATAATGGTACACACAATCAACTATGACAACACTTAATTCATTCCGTTTAAACTGCATGGGCAACATGAATACCTACCTTTGCCAGTATATATATCGTACATTATTAATACAATGTAGAAATTACAAAGTTCAAGCCAGTGTTTGACACCTGCAAATGCAGGGACAATCCTGGAATTTGAGAGCATCGGGCTATTTTCAGCAATTTTAAGTCAATTTCATGAATAAGATTGGCCATTCTATGTAAAAATTAAAATAAATTTTGAGAGTCAGTTTCAGTTTTAAGGGGCCAATGGCTCTTCGCCCCCTCCAGTATTATCTCTGAAATGAATTCACTGTCTTGTAGTGACCGTTGATTGCAAGTTACTTTTGCTTTACATAAATTTAAGATTTTGCTACCTACCCTGACGTACGGGTCGTGTTCTGGGATCCCCTTGTGGAATCGCACCAAAGTAAATCCAGACCGCTCTACTCCAAGATTGACCTCTGACCTATGTCATAAGCAAAAAAAAAAAAAAATGAAATTAATCATTTTCTTGTTGTATGAGTTACTTCGCATGTCTGATTGCACATAGACCATATCCCAGCACGCGCCATGTTCGTCCGTCCGTTAGATCGGCACGGCACGCGTCTTATCCGGTTCAACACTTTAAAAACAATTGGTGTCACAGCTAACTATTTTTATATACTGTACGTGAATAAGTTCGATGTGTAGTGTATGACAGAAACGTTGTGATATGGGTTTTTTCCATATCCTACCCCATTTATGAATGAAACGTCGACCTATATCTGCCCTGGGGCCTTCGGCCACTCGAACAGTTATGGAGGTCTCGGCTTGATACGGCGTAGGAGATAAAAATTGCCTTATGGTAACGAGTAAGTACTGCTGTTGATAATCGTATAAATTGTATAAAATAAATAATTATTGGAAATGTCGTGTATCAGCTAATTTAAAACTAATTCATACACAGCAAGAATGAAGCTTTTGAAAAACGTGAGATCACTATATGCTTGTGTGGTAAATCAAGATGGCGTAATTAGCGTGGAAGAATGTACAAAGTATACGTACCCGTGTGTGATGTGGTCGATCTGGTAAGCACTGCTAGCGTGAAAGAAGTGACCAGGAGACTTAATACTTTCAAACACAATCTGGTCATAAATTTGAACCTTTAAAAAAAGAATATTCAAACATCAATACATATATATCACAACATAGCGTCAGCTTGCAGGTAAAGGGTGCGTGTTTGCTTATGCGATTTAGTAGTTCATTTTCTACGAGTTAACCATTCACAAGTTTAAACATACTTACACGTTTCCAGACACACCTTATCAGATAGCTTTAGATCAAATATCAAACGTACGTACCACTTCGCCCTCCGACTTGACTTTGTATTGAGGTAGAATACGAAACTGAGCGTTTTTAGCGTTGAAATCCTGCAGCATGATCTGTAAAGAAAACAACAAACATTTATCATTTGAAATTATTTGAAATTTATTGATATACCTTATCTACCTATTTTACAATGTAATAATTAAAATGTATTGATTATGTAATGTTTGGGTCGAAAAATATACAATGATACCTGGTGTCACATGAGCTGCAGCAACATTTACTCTTCCGGAGCACTTCACATTGCATCGAAACCTTTAGGAATATACATGTTTCTTTGCTTTTGACGTCTCCTCCGTTCTTTAAAATTCATTTTATGTTTATTTTATCTCATCACTTTGGTAGTTTTGTGTGATACCGCAACGGTATCATTTGAGTGTATTATTGACGCTGTGGTATCTTGTGTGTTGTATGACGCTATTGTGTTATTTGTGTGTATTGACGCTTGTGGTATTATATAAGGAATGATTTTTATTTTTTCAACATTTATGAGGTCATAACAACAATGGGTTTATGGACATATTGAATGAATCGCGTTAGCGATTCATGTAAAATATGTCCAAAACCCCATTGTTGTTATGACCTTATAAATGTTGAAAAAATAGATATCATTCCATATATTTACATTGACGAATCCTTTCAGTGGATCGATATAACACCGAATAAAACAAATAAACAGGGTTTGTTCCTGCTTATACACGGGTGGAACGCAGTGGCGAGAACAGTGTTTTTTCGCGGGGAAATGTGACACTATCGTGAGAGATCTTAGCAACCGTCAACAACAATAACACAACAAAATGTAGTTCCATATTCAATGTTTATTTGTAGCACAGGACACGTGAATACGTGGATATTTCACAAAGCACAGATCAATAATATTTTAAGATGTAAGAATTAAGCATCTAGGTCGGTCGTTCCGAGTGAGTAGTTTTTGTAGTGTATTACTACGCAGTGTGATCAGGTTACTATCATGTCCCACGTGCTGAGATTCTATGAACACCTGTGTTATGCATTTATGAATGTAATTTTTGTCAATGGGTCTAAGCATACAGAATGTAAATATTTGTGTGTATTGACGCTTGTGGTATCATTTGTGTGTATTGACGCTTGTGGTATTATGTGTGTTGTATGACGCTTTGGTATTATGTGTGTGTATTGACGCTTATGGTATTATTTGTGGTGTATTGACGCTTGTGGTATTATTTGTGGTGTATTGACGCCGAGGTAGTATTTGTGGTGTATTAACGCTGTGGTATTATTTGTGGTGTATTGACGATGATTTATTAATTGTGGTGTATTGACGCGGAGGTATTATTTGTGGTGTATTGACGATGATTTATTATTTGTGGTGTATTGACGCTGTGGAAATATTTGAGGTGTATTGACGATGTGGTAATATTTGTGGTGTTCTGACGTTGTGGTATTATTTGTGGTATATTGACGTTGTGGTATTATTTGTGGTGTATTGACGATGTGGTAATATTTGTGGTGTATTGACGTTGTGGTATTATTTGTGGTGTTCTGACGTCGTGGTATTATTTGTGGTGTACTGACCATGTGGTATTATTAGTGGTGTATTGACGCTGAGGTATTATTTGTGGTGTATTGACGCTGTAGTAATAATTGTGGTGTATTGACGTTGTGGTATTATTTGTGGTGTTCTGACGTCGTGGTATTATTAGTGGTTTATTGATGCTGTAGTAATATTTGTGGTGTATTGATGCTGTAGTATTATTTGTGCTGTATTGACGCTGAGGTATTATTTGTGCTGTATTGCCGCTGAGGTATTAATTGTGGTGTGTTGACGCTGAGGTATTAATTGTGGTGTATTGACGCTGAGGTATTAATTGTGGTGTATTGACGCTGTAGTATTATCTGTGGTGTATTGACGCCGTGGTGTTACTTTTCATGTATTGACGATGATTAATTAATTGTGGTGTATTGACGCTGTGGTATTATTTGTGGTGTATTGACGCTGAGGTATTATTTGTGGTGTATTGATACTGTGGTATTAATTGTGGTATATTGATGCTGTAGTATTATCTGTGGTGTGTTGACGCCGTGGTGTTACTTTTGGTGTATTGACGATGATTAATTAATTGTGGTGTATTGATGCTGTGGTATTATTTGTGGTGTATTAATACTGTGGTATTAATTGTGGTATATTGACACTGAGGTATTGTGGTGTATTGACGCTGAGGTATTATTTGTGGTGTATTGACGATGTGGTATTTTCTGTGGTGTATTGACGGTGTGGTATTATTTGTGGTGTATTGACGCCGAGGTAGTATTTGTGGTGTATGAACGCTGTGGTATTATTTGTGGTGTATTGACGATGATTTATTAATTGTGGTGTATTGACGCTGAGGTATTATTTGTGGTTTATTGACGATGATTTATTATTTGTGGTGTATTGACGCTGTGGTAATATTTGTGGTGTATTGACGATGTGGTAATATTTGTGGTGTATTGAAGTTGTGGTATTATTTGTGGTGTACTGACGTTGTGGTATTATTTGTGATATATTGACGCTGTGGTATTATTTGTGGTGTATTGACGATGTGGTAATATTTGTGGTGTATTGACGTTGTGGTATTATTTGTGGTGTTCTGACGTCGTGGTATTATTTGTGGTGTACTGACCATGTGGTATTATTAGTGGTATATTGATGCTGTAGTATTATCTGTGCTGTATTGACGCTGAGGTATTGATTGTGGTATATTGATGCTGTAGTATTATTTGTGGTGTGTTGACGCCGTGGTGTTACTTTTGGTGTATTGACGATGATTAATTAATTGTGGTGTATTGATGCTGTGGTATTATTTGTGGTGTATTGATACTGTGGTATTCATTGTGGTATATTGACACTGAGGTATTGTGGTGTATTGACGCTGAGGTATTATTTTTGGTGTATTGACGATGTGGTATTTTCTGTGGTGTATTGACGATGTGGTATTATTTTTGGTGTATTGACGTTGTGGTACACGTATTATTTGTGGTATATTCATGGTGTGGTATAATTTATGTATTGACGATGTGGTTTTATTTGTGGTGCATTGACGTTGTGGTACACGTATTATTTGTGGTATATTCATGGTGTGGTATCATTTATCTATTGGCCATGTGGTACTTTTTGTGGTGTATTGACGCTGTGGTACTATTTGTGGTGTATTTGCCATGTGGTAATATTTGTGGTGTATTAACACTGAAGTATTATTTGTGGTGTATTGACGCTGTGGTATTATTTGTGGTGTACTGACGTCGTGGTATTATTTGTAGTGAACTGACCATGTGGCATTATTTGTGGTGTACAGAGGCAGCAGTATACAGTAATATTTGTGGTCTATTGGCCATGTGGTACTATTTGTGGTGTATTGACACTGAAGTATTATTTGTGGTGTATTGACGCTGTGGTATTAGTTGTGGTGTACTGACCATGTGGTATTATTTGTGGTGTACAGAGGTAGCAGTGTACAGTAGAAATGGTTTGACCCTAAAAATTAAGGGCATGTCTCAGATAAACATGGATATTGAATTCAACCTGCACAACACACCTACATATATATACATATTTATAAACTACATTTTGATTTCAGTTTGTTTAGAAGACTGAATTGTTTTTCGAAAACTGTTTTCCCTAGATTTTGGACTTGTGAAAACCATGGTTACCACACTAAAAATACACCAAAATATGCAAAAAAAAATGATTAGTAGTTGTTTTCTTAAGACCTGTCTGATATTAAATATCGCCTACTCGGTAACAGAAATCCTCACGGTTTAGCATAGGTCATTCCGGTGGATTTTTTACAATATTTACACATGTGCTGAGTACAAAAATAGACTACATGAAAAGCTAGCTTTTGTTGTGCAGACACAGATTTGTAAATACCCAAAACTGTAGTCTCGAACCAAATTCGATTTATTTTTTTGAAAAATTATGAAGCCAACATAGTGCACTTTATCATGTATATGCCAATTTTAGTGCTGATTTTTTTTTTTTTTTGTATACATGTTATATTACAGGGGTTATTCATTGTATAAAAATATCCCCCATGGCCATCGTACGCTACTGTACACTGCTAGCTGACGCTGTGGTACTTTTTGTGGTGTATTCAGATGTGGTGTTATTTGTGGTGTATTTACGCTGAGGTAATATCTGTGGTACATTGACGCTGTGGTATTATTTGTGTCTTATTATTTGTGTGCATTTGACGCTGTGGTTGTGTTTGTGTGTATTGACGCTGTGGGATTGTTTGTGGTGTATTGTCGACGCTGAGGTTATATCTGTGATACATTGACACTGTGGTATTATTTGTGGTGTATTGAGATGTGGTATTATTTGTGGTGGATTGAGATGTGGTATTATTTGTGGTGTATTTAGATGTGATATTATTTGTGCTGTATTAACGCTGTGGTTATATCTCTGGTACATTGACGCTGTGGTATTATTTGTGGTGGATTGAGATGTGGTATTATTTGTGGTGTATTTAGATGTGATATTATTTGTGCTGTATTAACACTGAGGTTATATCTGTGGTACATTGACGCTGTGGTATTATTTGTGGTGTATGACGCTGTGGTATTATTTGTGCTGTATTAACGCTGTGGTTATATCTGTGGTACATTGACGCTGTGGTATTATTTGTGGTGGATTGAGATGTGGTATTATTTGTGGTGTATTTAGATGTGATATTATTTGTGCTGTATTAACACTGAGGTTATATCTGTGGTACATTGACGCTGTGGTATTATTTGTGGTATATGACGCTGTGGTATTATTTGTGGTGTATTGAGATGTGATATTATTTGTGCTGTATTAACGCTGAGGTTATATCTGAGGTACATTGACGCTGTGGTATTATTTGTAGGGTAACATCAATAGTGATTGGTTGTGTCGCGTGTTATCATTTCCATACGCCAGCAGGCAGTGTTCACTTAATTAAATGTGTTCGTTCCTGGCTTGTAACAGACGTTTCATGGCCTGTAAATGACGATCAGCTGTTAACTTACTAATGAAAAACAATTGCCTTCACACTCGAATTTTTTTATCTATTCA